TCGTGTCCTAGTCAGATGAGGTTTCCAGGGTTATCAGGATGAGGTTAACCGCTAAGGTCTTCGGGATAAGACCTGATCCCTAGCAGGGCTGTCCTTTTTCCTGTTTTCAGACGTGGTTATTTGTATGGCGTGGTGTCAAAGTGGCTGGATAAGGTAGGGAATAGTGCTGACGTGGTCGAGGTGATAAGGTAGGCCGCGGATATGTCGTGGGGTTGGCATGGCCGAGGTGACAGGGTGGCCACATAGGCACCACGTGGTGTCCGGAGCCAACTCATCCATTATCCGAATATCAACATTATTAATGGATTCAAATTTGAAACGATGTTTGTGAGATCCAATCAGATCTATTATTTGTACTGTTAGATCAGATTTGGATATACCTTGATTCAAATATGATTGGATACATTTGCATCCCTACATAAAAATAATACAAATTTTATGAACAACAAAAAAAGAGACATATTTGGAAAATAAATCAATTTTGAAAAAATAGAGACTTCGAAGAAAAAATTTAGAAAATAAGCATTTTGGTGAAAAGTAAATGCATGGCTATTTTGGACATTCTCGTACTTCTTTGTTAGTAGATTCTAAGGGGGTGCTTGGGACCAGTGCATTTCACGACCATTCTGTTTCACAAGTGGGCCCCGATTTATAAGTGATTCATTTCATCTGTTTTTTTTGGAAACACGAATAAAGGGATGCAAGCTGATTGGACGTTTAAAGTGATTTAGCTTAGTATCATAACATATTTATAATGACAACTGTGTGATATCTCAAAAGGTAAAAAGCTTTTTCAAAGCTAGGGTGATACATGATCACCCAGGCGGTTCAATAACCAAAAATTTGGTGTTTCAAGAAACCCTTCCTTTCACGAATTCCAAAGCTAATTATTACAAAAACGTTTCAAAAAACATGCTACCAAATACCATTTTTTTACCGATTCCATTTATTTGTTGATATGACACGCATGACACATCCGATACGGGGCGTATCATATCGGTATCGAATTAGGGTGATATAGGACACGTTACATCTAATTTGTCTGATATGAGTGCATATCAGCTCGTATCGTTGCTAATTGCATGATTTGAACCTGAAACTCCATGCACGAGGCGTCAAAAGCCTTAAACTCACTGTTAAACCACTAAGCCATGCCATGCATTGTGATATTTAACGAAATAACATATTTTTATTAATGTCTGTCCAAACAAATAATCAATATTTATGTTTTAAAAATAACTCTAATTAAAAAAATAAATAATATTTAATAAAACAAATGGAATAAATAATCTATCAATTCTATATTTACAACAAAAGATGATTTTAATCTCAAGAAATTTATACAAATAAAATATTAATAGTAGAATAATTACCTTATTACTTAAAATTTATAAATTTTCACGTGATATATATCTTACAAAATTTATATGTTTTTATAATTATTCATTAATATTTTAATTTACATTAAATGACAACATACTTATTATTTACAGAAAGTAAAAATTATATATTTTTTTAAAATTATTAAATGATATTTTAATTTATATTTGAGAAATTAATATTTGGTTAACTTTTTTATTAATGTTAAAGAGAAAAAATAATAAAATAGAAAATAATTGATATAATAATTAGGATAAATATAATAGGACCATCTTGGACTCTTAATTAATGCATTGTATGATATCTGCACATTCTGCTATTAATTATAATATATTTTTATGTACACCAGTAAACATATATTTCTTATATATTTTATACATTATTTATAGCTATTTGACCATAAATTTAGTGTTATTAATATATTTATGAAATTTGCATGTGTTTCCCTAGTGTATTCAAGTGTTTTGATATTTTTTGTCCGTATCCATGCGTTTCCAAAGTGTATCTGTATTTGTATCTGTATCAATATCCAAGTTATCCGATACGATACTCGATGTCGATAATTTAATCCTTGACCAGCATTTAAAAAACACAGTAGTCCTAAACGTCCTCTAAGAAAGGGATCCACTCAATAAAAAAGTTTATTGTAATTGCAAAACTCACATGCGTTGCATGTTAGAATTTTTTTCTTCATATTAATTACTTGAGTTTTAGATATATCATAGTTAAAAATGTAAATTGAAAATGAACAAAAGTAACAATATGGTTAACAATAAACTTAAATATTTATTATTCAATTATGACATCATGGGTTTCTTTGAAAAGTTGGATTGCTGACCCACCATTTAGACAAGAAAATAGCTTTACTTGTGAATTAGTTTTAAATCAGGGAAAATTATAGCTGGAGTTAGTTGTATATTTAAAATTAGGCTACAAGTTGGTCCATAAACCAACAAAACTCTAACAACCGGCTATGAATTTCAAATTATAAAAACCCTCACCATGTCATTAGAGGCTTATATGGTTGGTGCCAACATGAGACTCTTAATTCATGTTGGGCACAACAAAAAGCTTATACTAAAATTGACCTTTAATGTTGGGTGATTAAAAAAAAAAGTTTTTAGTCTCTCTTTCTCTCTCTCTCCCTCCCTCCCTCACACTCTCTCACTCATAATCATCTTTATTTGCTTAACGATTATGTGTTTTGAAAACAAATAAAAATGGTTTTTGGTTTCTATATTTACATTATCTATATCAATTTCTCTCATTCTCTCTCTACCAATCGTTCTCCCTTAATCTCTCACACTCTCTTTCTTGGTTGATCTTTCATCCTCCCTTAATTTATATCGTTCTCCCTCAATTTCTCTCCCACTCTCTTTCTCTCTCATTTTTTTAATTTTCTCACACATTTATATGGTATTAATCAAATCATATAAAAGAACATGAGACCAACTTGGTATGGTTCAAAAATTATTACACCAATTTGATAAAAAATCACAAGAAGCTCTTATCTATGAAATTTATACCAATTGGAGAACGATAGAAATTGAGTGAGAATGGGATATTGACTAAGAGGGAGAGTAAGGGAAATAAATGAGAAAGATTAAGTGGGAACAATAGAGATAGAGGTTTTGATTTAGCTATAGACCAAAGCTGATAGAGTGGGAGAGACAGAGGGAGCAGGAGATCAAGAGATGACTATGAGAGTGAGAGAGAAGGGAGGGAGTAGGATAGAAACTGAAAACCTATTTTCTATATAGGTTTTTTGTTGTGTCTAATATGGACTAAGAGTTCTATGTTGGCAACCACCACATAAGCCTCTAATGATGTGGCGGGGGTTTTTATAATTTGAAATATAGAGCTGGTTGTTAGAGTTTTGTTGGTTTCTGGACCAACCTACAACCTAATTTTAAATGTACAATCGACTTTGACTATAATTTTTTCTTTAAATTATATATTTCATTTACATTATATATAATATTTTTTTACTTATCACACTTAATTTTTGTTTGTCTATGGTATCATTTGGCTCAAACCACTAACCCACCATGTAAAAATAAAAATTGTTTGATTTCTAGGTTGATATTAAATTTTGTATTACATTTTCATCATTGATAAAAGTATTTCTTATGTATAAAACTTATTTTTGGTCAATATAATGAATGCACAATGTTAGTGATGTACCAAATATTTTATTTTTTATAAATATATAACATTGGATATGTGCCTAAAATTTTCTCTATCTTTTTTTTGTGATTATTTGTATTTTCTATTATTAAAAATTTTATTATTTGACTATGACATCATTTCATTTTAGGTAGATTTTGAATTTGGCATACCATTTTCATGGTTAATAAAAATACTTCTTACATTTCATAGTTATTTATTCTATTTTTTTTATCTACTTATGACATTATTTATTAGTCCATTTGATCCCAAATGATTGAATACTTACCCACCACCGCCAGGAGGGAAGAAAATGGTTTTGTTTTCAAATTACTTTTCAAAATATTTATTTTTATATTATTAAAATTATTATTATGGATTTAATTACAAGAATTTAATGATGAAAAAATATATCTTAAATATATGATTTAATGAGAGAGAATAGGAAAAATATTTATTTCCAATTGGTTTTAAGTTTTACATTCTATTTCCATCATTAATAAAAATATTTATTATTTATCATACTTATTATTGTTTAATATCTATGTTAAAAATGTTTTCATTTTTTAATTTGTATTTTTTAATTTTATTATTTAATCATGGCAACATGAATTAACTCATTTGACCCAAAATGATTTAATTTCTTACCAACACCTAGATGAAAACACTATTTTTACTAGGTAGATTTTAAAAGTATAAACTTTTATGTTGTTTGAATTATTAATTTATTAAGTATGGATTTAATTAATAGAACTTAATGATGAGAAGCAATAAAAATGACTTAAATATATGATTTAATGAATATGAATGCAAGTTAATAACTTAAATGTTAGATTTAATGAGAGGGAATTGAATGCATTGAATATCTTTAAATTACCTCTTTTCAACTCATTTAAATCAAGAACTTGTCCTCATTTTTTATCAATAAATTTAAATATAAAAGAATAAATTGTCTTTAAAAAATTTTAAAAATATTCTTAAGACCATTTATACTTTTTTTAAATAGTATAAATAAATATAAATTTACCCAAAAGAATAAAATCAGAATTAACTCCATTATCGTGAAGTACTTAACAAGGCGCCCACCTTGCCAGCAAGTTGCTACCACACCCAATTAAAAGAATAATAAAACGAAAAAAAACAGAAATACAGAAAAAATATAAATGCAATTTAATAATGTTTGTCATTATCCCGATGTACTTAAAAACGCGTCCACGCTTGGTCTCAACTCTCACGACTAATAGACAAATGGGTGTTTATCAATGAAAAATACTTAAAAAAGAAAAACAATCAAAAACTGCGACAAATGAGTACGTTCAAAGTTAGGATTAGCAAGAGAAAGAAAGGGGTCCCACCTTGCTTTGCTACCCAACATACAAAATGAACCAGGAGACGTACGGTCCAGATTGCTCTTGTGCTGAATTTAGCAAGTTCCTCTAATATAAATTGCCGTCAATAAATCGGTATTTCTTACTAAACTTGTCGATTTTGTTTCTGGGAATAGCGAGAAAGATTTGGACGCTTTCCTCCTCGATTCCCTTTATTTCATCCAAATCGATTGATACAAGCCGAGAAAAAGGTCTACCACTTCACGTCATTACCATTTTGACCAAACCGAATTTCCGAAAAAACAAAGGTCAAGGCAAAAAGTGAGTGTATCACCCGAAACTGTGGTTTGAATTGCAAAGAACTCTGTGACGCTTCAATCTCTTCTTCACTTCAATGGCAAAACACGAAGAACTGTCAATCCCTGTTTACTCCACCCTCGAACCAGTTTATGGGGATGAATCCCAGCTTGAAGAAGCTCAGCTTCGATTCGATAAGCTTAAAGCCAAGTTTCTTGAAGTTTTCGGTCACCAACCTGATGTTTTCGCTCGATCTCCAGGTCTTCTTTTTTTCTCCGTTTCCTCCCTTCTTCTGTTTTGTCTCAGTTTCGTTTTCAGTTCGAATTGTTCTTTCGAGTTCCGTTGCTTTCATCTTGCTTTTGTTTATTAGAATTCTAAGCGAAACGAATTCTTTGTCTTTCCCCCTAATTGACACACCTATTTGGCTTTGAAGCCTTCAATTGCGTTTAGGGGACTTCGGAGACTCAACCCTCGTTTCTGGTCTTTCATGCAGGTCGAGTGAATTTGATCGGAGAGCATATTGATTATGAGGGATACTCCGTGCTGCCGATGGCCATAAGGCAAGACACAATCGTCGCGATCCGTAAGCATGACGCTGGAGAGTCTCCCCAGCTTAGAATCGCAAATGTGAATGATAAATATACAATGTGTACTTATCCCGCTGATCCTAATCAGGTGAATGTGAACTTGTTTATTCTTCTAATTTCTGTCTCTATCATGCAATTTTCACCTTCCCTTGCAAAGTAAATTCCCTTTACTCGTTGGGAGAAGACCCAGGTAGTCCAAGATAGACTCAACTCTGCCTGCCTTACCACCATTTACTTCTACTAACATATCACGCACTTTGTTTTCGATGCCGTATGTTGATGTGCACATTCTGGTTCAAGAGCGTTCTGATGACTATTAATCATTTGAAATAGTCCTTCTCTCTTTCTCTCCCTTCATTGGTAATTGGCTTATATCTTTAGTTCCTTAGAAGTCATCAATGAAGGGTCACAGGGGGATAATAGAGAATGTAAACTATAAAACTATGCATGAATGGGCATCTAATCACATGCGGTTCTTTAGATTTTGATAAAAGGTAAAGTATGCAAAGAAATTAATGAACTTAAGGCCTGATTACATTCATAAAAAAAAAGAAAAAACTTAGGCCTGATTACTAAAAATACACTAGTCTAGTGCATAATTTACCTCTTTTTCTTAAAGAAAAAAACACTTATTTCATTAGATGCATTCTGGATGAAATTGCTTTTTTTTTGTTTTTTCCTTTTTGAGAAGGGGTAAAGTATGTTAATAACAAAAGGAAACAAAGTGTCATGTACAACGAAAAGAACTTACTTTTTTTGCTGTCCAAGGTTTTCTTTGCAGCTTTACTGTGCTCCTATATTTGAGTTTCCTCCCTTGTGTGCTGTAATTCTGACACTGGCTCATGCTTTACCATCCATATGCTCATGATAAGTTAATGTCAGCCAGAATTACAAATAAGGCACTAATATGAGTTAATGGGTTAATACATTATTTTTTTTTTTTTATGAATGAGAATAATTTATTAATCCAGAAATTAAGGCAATACAGGAAACCCATGAAGAGGCACGAGCTGTTACCTCTTCTAACAAAGTATTACATCAATTAAAAACAAGAATAAACAGAAAAAACAGAAATGGGTTAATACATTATTGAAAGCCTTAATTTTTTTTTATCTTCCTTTTTCGCATTTGCAAATGAACTTTATATTATGCCAAGATGCATGATCTTATTCATCTGTGCAGGATGTTGATTTGAAGAACCACAAATGGGGTCATTATTTTATCTGTGGGTGAGATATGACACTCTTACTTTGGTTATACTGTTTGCAACTCTGGCCATTATCAAGCAGCCCCTTAGGCTGACATATCTTGAAACCTTTTAATTTAAAGCATCTCTGTTGTTCTAGCCTTGCATTTAGACCAACTTTTATCAATTATTACCATATATCAGCAAACAAAATGCCCACGGGATCTTCTCTTGTAAATTTGTAGTTCATCCATAGCTACTGCAAAAAGATATGGCCTAAGTTCTGACCCTCAGTGTAAACCCATTTTGATTCTTCTCCAAGATATGTACCAATATCATAATTACATTATTAATAAAATTGTTTCTGATCTGTTAATGATAAAAAATTGGGTTAAATTCCATTATATGGGCAATAGGCTCTCCTTGTTGCCTAGAATTGCCTATATTCCTTGACAACTATGTAAGACACTTGCTAATGAAATTTCTTAATGAGAAATTGTCTTCTATTTTTCTTCAGTTACAAAGGATATTATGAATATGCCAAATCTAAAGGTGTAGATGTTGGTGTACCAGTTGGACTTGATGTCCTTGTTGATGGGACAGTTCCTACAGGTAACTCTCCCTGATTTTTGCTTGTAATGCAGCATCAGTTCTTTTCTTTCTTTCTTTCTTTTTTTTTTTTTTGATAAAATGCAGCATCAGTTCTGTTTAATTGAAAGCTATCCTGCTTAGTACTATAGTTTTCTGTTTCATAATGAAGTCAAATTCATTTAGTGTTATTTTTATGCAGGGTCTGGACTATCAAGCTCAGCAGCATTTGTTTGCTCTTCTACTATTGCTATAATGGCTGCTTTTGGTGTGAATTTCCCAAAGGTGTTGCTCTTAATCCTTTCAAAGTTCTTTTTTGTTTGCTTACTTGCCTGGTCTTCAGGGCCTATCTTTCAAAATCATGACAAGTGGACCTCTTCTCTGTCCAAATGGATCTTTTTTTATCATCAGCAGTAACCAGTTTGTATTAATTTCAGAAAATATTAAGGCCATCATTCCAAAAAGCTTGGAGATGATGGGACTAATACACGAATAGCCTGGGACTGACATAAAATAGGAAGTAAAATTGAAAATAGAATTACAAATTTACCTTGGGCCCAGTGCCCCCCCCCTCCCCCCTAAAAAAAGCTCTTCTGTGTCCATTCTGCCCTAGAGAATCTACTAGGCCACTGGCAGGTCTAGGGATCCATGCAAATGAGAGGTTCATAATGGATGCTAATTCCTAAGCCTTGTCCCAACTATATGGGGTTGGCTGCATGAATCCTGTTTCACTATTCCATTCTGTTTTGTGCCATATCCATTGTTCTTAGCTTCTCTGAGTAGATGTCAAAAATCCAAAGGCCCGTCAGATCAATCCATAAAAATTTAAATTTTATGCTTATGCCACTCAATGATGAATTTTCCATTGTCTTCTAGGAGTATCCAAGTAGCCAAAAACTGCAGAGCAGTGTCAGGCTGGCAGCAGCCCTTCAAAATAGTCTATTGAGCGACCCCTTTGAACTCCTCCCTCATCAACACCAACCAAGTGTACCATTCTTATAATACTGATCTCTATGATAGTATCAACTTCTTGCATCTTATTTTCAAAATGTTCGTATGGGTTTTCTATAGCATGCAACTCTTTATGAGTATTATTTTATGAATTTGGCAGGATTTCCTCGTGTATTTGCATGTAAGCAAAAAAAAAAAAAAGAAAAAGAAAACTGCATTTGCATGATTCTATGTGTATATGCATACAAACATGTGTGTAACTGTGTATATATAGATATATACATATAGAGATGTTGCCTCTGGCATCTCCATTGCAAGTTCTGCACTCCCCCCAACCCCCCTCCCCCAAATGGTTTGGAGGGAAAGGAAAATGGACTGAGTGGATGCTTCATTTCTGATGACCAGTCCGACATAATAGCAGATAAAGAAATTTTATGCTTCCAAAATACCAAGGATAAATTGCAAAGGATTAGTAAATGGAAAGTGATCTCTCAACTAGCTTTTTGGAGAAAGTACCCATGGAATAAAAGGACACAAAGTGGTATTCTCCTTTAAAGGACCTCACAAGTGTTACTTTTCATCAAATGGAAAGCTTAGAAGCAGAAAGCCCTTATTTTAGAGGATTGAGGTCCATACAAACTGCTTTTACTGTAAATAGTAGATCCTATCTCAGTCCCAGCTGTCATTGAGAATCATTATCAGATTATATTAACATACTATTCAATTTTTAAGAAAAAGTAACTTGTCAAAAAAATTTAAGAAAAAGAAAAAAGAGGAACCATTATCGACCACCAAAAGAAAAGTTGGTCTTGCTTAGCTTCATTTCCCTTCATTAAATTCTTATGCATAAGGTTCATGTTATCCATTTCTCCTTGGTGGATGAAGAACATTTTGGTAGAACTATGAAATTTATCCAGCTCTTTTGCAATGTGATAAATCTACCAAGGAATAATCCTTTGTGGGAGAAATTTCCTGGAACAAAATTTCCTGTTGCTTTGTTGTCTTTAGTTTCCAACAAGCACCTCATTCTTACTGTTTGGGGGTACTGAAGTTTTTTGGTGAAGCGCTAGTTACTTTCCAAGGAACTCCTATTTGGTATTGCAGCTATTTGCTTATTGAAGATAGAAATTCAGTGCTGGAATGGAGACTGACTAGTTTATTTTATGTGCACTATGTGTGACATATTGTTCCCTCTTTCTCTCTCCCCCTCCCCATTTAAAATTTTGTTTGCTAGCAGCTTAATTTCAATATTGTTGATACAAAATACAATGTTTTACAAGTACATAAATGTCTTATAATGATTTTCAATAAATTTGGTTCCATATATATGTCAAATTAACCTGTACTAGGATGGGTGCCCCCTGGGAAGTCCTCTTTCTTCACCCCATATAGTTGGTACAAAGCTTTGTTGAGTTGAGTATATGCTAGATGAACCTATGAAAATTCTTTTTTTTAGTTGTCATATTATATTCTCAGACATTTACATTGTGCACGTGGATGATCTTTGCTTCATAATTTTAAAATACACTTTCTGTTCTCTTTTAATGCCTTTCAATGAATATCTTATTGCAATTTCTTTAATTAATGCAGTCTGGAATTACTATCAAGTAATCAAGATTTCACTGAGAACTACTTTTGTTTATTCTGGTTAAGTTGCTTGGTAAATATAGTTGCTTTTGCCATGCTAAATAGACAGGAAACCAACCAGAGCATTCAATGCATATATTGATTCTTTCTTTTTTCTTTTGAATAATAGCCTGCTCATTCCTTTTATTGCAGAAAGAAATTGCACAACTTACATGTGAATGTGAACGCCATATTGGAACACAATCTGGTGGAATGGACCAGGTGAGGTTTTTGTTATTTCACTTGTTTGGTTCTCTATTAGTTTTCCTGAATTATTTTCTTTCACAAAGAATGGTTTCTTAATTATGTCAGTTAAGTTTATTGTCCGATTGACCTACCCTGTTTTTACTGCATGGAGAAATGATGTCACTAATACAAGGTGAGATGTAAGGCTGAGTGGACAGCTGGATTTTATTGGTAGCATCAAACATTTTGTCGCTATCTGAAAAAGAGTTAATATAAGTACAGAGAGAATATTTGCTTAGCAGACTTCAAGATTTATTTCTGCAATACCCTTTCCCATCAGTTGTGTATCTACACCTATATAACCTCATTTTCTGGGTCAGTGGTCCCCTAAAACAGCTGATTTCTGCTCGCACCCTGCCTAACCAAAGTATATGCTGAACTATTTGCAGTTCTTTAGAGTTTAGACCTATGTAAAGGATGTTTTGACTTTTGAGTTCCCTAGCTGGGCTTCTCACTTTTTTCACGATTGCATGTGATGCCAAATCCTTAGATTGTCATCTTTAAACCAATCAATTACAACATGAGGTCCCCTTTAACTATGAAGTCTCTATAGTTAAGGATTTTTCCCAATTCCCAATCTCAGTCCTTGGCATACAGCCAGTAGCTCCAATCTTATCAAGTCACTCCTGCCAATAGGTCCCAAATAGATGGCCAGAATGGTGCCATTGCTCTCCCTAAAAACACCATGAATGCATGAATCTCCTGGCTTCCCCATACTACATCCGTCAAATTTTGATAAAACCAAGTTCCCTGTCATTAGTAGAGACCAAGAGGTAGCCATTCTGGTTTTTGAAGATGAAGACAATACCATACATTGCCATCATCTGAGAATGCCATCCACTTAAAATGGGTTGAAAATGCTTAATGCTTTTATTCGATGACCCATCAAAAATACCATACATTGCCATCATTTAAGAATGCCATCCACTGAAAATGGGTTGAAAATGCTTACTGCTTTTATTCAATGACCCATCTTTATCAAAATGTTTTCAATGATGGCTTATTGCATTTTTCTTCTTAGGAAAATTTAACATTTCTCTCTTCCCATATTGACCAAATGGTTGCTGCCCTTGTGTACCTACACATATCCCTCCATGTAGGCGAAAGTGAATTAGGCCTTCTAGGGGGAAGAAGCATATAGATGGACGTTCTCTCCTTTATTTTTTTGGAGAAAAGGTAAAGTAATTTTATTAAACTTAGATAGTATAACAGACTAGAACACCTTGGACGGGCATTGACAACAGCTAGAAACATTACAAATCCCACAAATTCCTGGACCTCAACAGCACCCCCAGGTTAGAAATCTGAAGCCTCTTTGCAGCTGACACCCAAGAGACCAACTTCCCAAAGGAAAATGATGTTAAATCATGCGTTTCCTTGGAAGTCTTCTGGAACAGCCTGCTGTTTCCTTCAGTCCAGATGGTACTTATCACTGCAGATGGAACAGAGACCCACACACTGCTGGCAAGCTTAGAGAGATGTTGAACTTCCCAGCACCAAAAGAGATCCATCACTCTTCCAGGCATTACCCAAGTTAATCCCAGAGCTGAGATGTAGTGCCACCAGAGTCAGGAGGTGACAGAGCAATGTAGGAACAGGTGATTGGTTTCCTCCAAAGCCTGCCTGCACAGCACACACAACTGGTCCTGGACCTGTACCCCTCTTTTAGACATTAATTTTAGTTAAACACCTGTCCAGAGACACAGCCCACACCAGAGGGTAAAAGATTTGACTGAAAAAGACCATCAGCATTCCAATTCCAGCTCCAACTGTCATCACTATTTATGTCCACAGACTGAACTGAGACTATCTCAAGCAACTCAACAAATTTAACAATCTCCCAGTCCTGAAAGTGTCTTCGAAATGAAGGGCACCAGATTGCTGATCTACCATTAGACTCATAACAGTCTGCCACAGCAGCATCCTGATTCTCAGCAAATCTGAAATGGCTGTGGAAACAACTCTGAGAGAGGGCAGTTGCTGCACCAAGGGTCTTTCCAAAAGGCCAGCCTTTCACCATTACCCAATTTAGGGCTTAGTCCTCTGCTGAACCTTGGAAGAATGCCAATAATTTTCCTCCATAAGGAGCAACCTAAAGAGGGCAAAGATGAAGTGGTTATCCAATCTCCTCTATCAGTGTCGTATTTAGCAGCATTTAAGTCTCTCCACCACCTACCTCTTTCCAACCCAAACCTCCAAATCCACTTTCCCAACAGAGCAATGTTAAAATTCTTCAATCTCCTAATCCCCAGGCCTCCTTGCACTGTATATTTTTTTGTTGATGAATAACAGTTCTGGATGTAGTAGCACTATGTGTTGTGTTTTCATACATCATCACATAGCCCCTCAAAGGTGGTTAGCCTCTGTTAATCACCTCATCTAAGAAGTCTTAATGCCCCTTGTTTTGCTAAACTATCTGTCAATCCATTGGCAGATCTTGGTACCCATGTAACAGTGCCCTTAATTTCTACATGCTTCTTCACCCAAAAAAAAAAAAACATTTCTTTTATCTCCTTAATTAAATGTTTGTACCTCCACGGACCCTTGTGATTTTTCATCAGCCACCTCGTAACAACATGAGAATGCCTTCTACTATTAGATGCCTGTACTTCATGTCATTAGCCCTTCTTTCTCCTAACACAACCCACAGTTGTGCCCTAGTTGAATCACCATTTCCTTGCACTGTATGGTTGATTAAATGATTTTTGATAATCCATTTTCTTTGAATGGAAAGATACATATATGCTTATGGATTATATTTGCTAGTTCACCACACCTGATTTTTGTTGTTTCACAGGCAATTTCTGTCATGGCAAAGGCTGGGTTTGCGGAACTGATTGATTTCAACCCTATCTGTGCAACTGATGTGCAACTTCCTGCTGGTGGATCTTTTGTGATAGCCCATTCGTTGGCAGAATCTCAGAAAGCAGTAACTGCTGCAACAAATTACAACAACCGGGTTGTAGAATGTCGTCTAGCAGCTGTAAGTTTTGGCATTTCATTGTTATATTGGCAAAGAAGTTTTGCTTCTAGTATATCACTTTCCCAATGTCAGGCTCCCAAGATACTTTAGATTTTGTACCACTTGATTTGTTTCTCAAGTGTCAAATGCTATGTGAAAAGGTCATTAGCCAATGTTGGTCTCAGATATCTGGGGTCTGGAGAGGGGTGGACTGGATATGGACCTAACCTTCAACATCTTTTTTGGCATTAAGTGGCTTTTCTCAGACTTGAACCTACATGCTCATGCTTGTCAAATTCAATCTGCACTCTAAAAAAACCATTGGCTTCATTCTAAGTTAAATTATTTTAGTGGTTTGATTATGAGGTTCGGTATTGTGACAAAGAATCTTCAATCACTTCAGTAAACAAGTTAAATTATTTGAGTTGATTACGAGGTCCAGTATTACTTATGATGGTTAAAAATAATTTTGAAACTTGGGAACAATTGTGGATGTGTGGCAAGTTACATGTTCTATATATTAACAATCATTGGAGCCTTGATTTGTATGATGAAAGGAACAACTAAGATAAATGCTACTGCCTAATGGCTGAGCAATTTTGGTGTGAATCTTTACCAAGGAAGAGTTCTTTTCTGTTTTTTTTTTTTTTATTATCTCCTTTCTCCTTTTTTTTGGTAGATGATGGGTGAATTTTACTTTTCTCAGTGGTAAAATTCTTGGTTTATAGTTGGGTTCCAATCTCTTCTTTAAAATATGATGACACTTTCTTTTGGTTGTTCTTTGAATTCTTGTTATGTTACTGGTAAGTGCCATACTTATCTTTACCATTTAATGGCGAGTCACTGTTAACTTATGTATTTCTTCTGGGTTTAATAGACATCAGACCTGGAAATTTATACCAACAAAAGATAACAATTACAAAATTTAATATGTAAAGGCACTGGTGTTCTTGAAACAGAGGCATGTGAGTTCTATGGAGAAATTAACAGGATAAAAGATGGCATAATCAAAGGAGGGATTGCAAAGAAGGCAAGTTTTTCAGCCGTGTGATTGGTCCCCCCTACCACTTTGGGGGGGGGGGGGTGTAGTGTAATAAATGGCACTCATGTCAGGAAATAAATGTAGGCCTACTAGCTGAAGCAATAGAAAATTCTTGCTGGTGCTGGAATTGGTTTAAGAAACTCCTGGAGGGAAATTTCTTGCTTAAGAGAGAGTCTACTATAAGTTCCTTTCTCTTTACTCTTTCTGTCTCTCATACTTTTTTCTTAATGGCATTTCTTTCATAATGGACAGTACTCAACCTGATCCTTATTGTAGTTTGAAGAGACATTAATGTAAATAAATCTTTCATATGACCACAATGCAATAAAAAAAATTGAGCAGCAACCTGAAGGATCTAGGATTCAAAGTGAAAATGAACAATCACTGATAGGAGTCCTTTTGTTCTGCCAATTTTTTATCAGGATACCTTTTGTTCTGGTTGAGGTTATGTATGGACAAGTTGTGAAATATGGGGCTTTTCATTACTTTTTGTATTCCCACTTACAGTCTTCAAAGATCTTCCAAACCGAGGGCTTGGCTACTTGGGGGAATGCTTAGTTAAGAACATCAAACTTCAGTCTTTTTATCTGGATACTCTTATATTTATTTATTTATTATCAGGATACTCTTATATTTATTATTGTTTAAACCTATTAATAAAACCTAACTATTAGTATTTCACATGTTGGTGACCCTGGAAACCAATACATATTGTATGATGCACTACAATATGTATCAATACTTTGAACCTTGGCTAAGATACTGAGATTCTAAGAAACATCTGCAGGTTGTCCTTGGTATAAAGCTTGGGATGAAGCCACAGGAAGCTATCTCCAAAGTGAAAACTCTTTCTGATGTTGAGGGATTATGTGTGTCATTTTCTAGCAGTTGTGGTTCTTTAGATCCTGTTCTTGCTGTCAAGGTATCACACATTTTTTCCTCATATTTTCTTGCCTAGCTTCTATACTTCTAATTTTTTTTGGTACCTTATATTAGCTGTTTAACCTTAAAAAATTGTAAGTTCTATAATTTACTTTCTATTGGGATCTTACAGCTGTTATCACTTAATAAGTTTTTTTTACTTTTCTATTTTTCTGCTTTAGATTTGATCTTATATTATTTATACATTTTTCACTTCTAGGCACAAAATATTTTAGATTAGTTTTCTTTCATCCTTCCTTTCCTTTTTTTTATTATTTTTTTCTCTTTCCTTTTTCCATGTTCTACCTCCATATCATTTGAGTTTGACAAAGTTTTAAGAAGCAAAAGGGACAATTTTTTCTCATAGTTTTGCTCTTGTTATTTGCAGATAATTTTTATTTTATATTATCATCAATCAGCTTATGTTTTCCTTCTCTGCCTTGCAGGAATTTTTGAAGGAGGAGCCGTATACTGCTGAAGAAATTGAGAAAATCACAGAGGAAAATCTGCCTTCTGTCTTGGGTAGTTCTCCAACCTCATTGGATGTACTAAGAGCTGCAAAGCACTTTAAGTTATTTCAGGTAATTTCTTAGATTTGAGATGTATTTTTAGAATTTCTTTGGTATCATAATTATGTGTAATACAAAGCCTTCAAGGCTCAGTTTTAGTTCAAATGAGGTGATGCAATTGAAATTTGTCTCTTCATTCTGTGCTTTCTACATTGTATATGTGGTAACATACAGTCTAATGAGGTACATATCTTGTAGCTTCTTTTAGGCTTCATGCTTCAGATTATGCCCTGGATCTTGGGTATTTGGAAAATTCTCTTGTATAAATTTGGGATTCTGAATTAGGTTGCTTGACAGTTGCCCTGTCTATCTGTTGCTTCTTGATATGCATACTCAGCTTAACTAAAATGAGCCTTATTCCAACTATTTGGGTTTGGCTACCTCACTCCATCGTCCCACAGAAAAGATTCATGTTTAAATGGATTTTTGATGTAGAATGCACTGTAGCTTAATCACCAAATTACCAGAATCATTGCCCGTGGGCCATGAAGGGTATTTCCACTCTGAACCACCAATTTGTAGATATACTCGTCCATATATTTGTGAATTTTTTTTTGATGAATAATATATTCGTGAATTTTCAAGCTTTGGTTTGTAATTCTACAATTGCAGATCAAAGCAGTACAGCTCAACTCAACTCAGCCTTAATCTCAACCACTTTGAATCAGCAACCATATGCAAAGCAAATTGGTTGGAGTTCCTTTTTACTCCCACACAACATGGACCATACTTTCACTCTCTTTCATCATTGCTATTCCCTATCTCTTTAACTACTTTCTAACTTTTTACCTGTTGCTTTCATTTATGGAAGCTCATTATCTAAAAGGATAGAACTCAAATCTTGTATGGGCCACCCTCTAAATTTTTGAACTGTGTTATAGCAGCTCAATATCATAATAAGTTTCTTCTGGGGACATTGCTTTTCTCAATTGTAAATCCCTTATTCAAAATCTCTATCCTTGTTGTGCAAGATTTGGAAGAAACATGTTCCTTGCACAAATATCTACCGCAAAGAGCTGATATTGTGATTGATATAACAAAGTCAACTTCTCCAAGGAAGTTGTTATAATTCATAAACTGAAAAAAGGGAAACCGACCATTCCAACCCATGTTTAAAAGATTTGGAGTCAATTTTAACAGTAGATGACCTTCAAACTCAGGAACTATAGGGAGGATTTATCATGGGGTGTGTTGCTCACATAACTTATATTCTTTTATTATTTTTTCATTAGTTGCATGATCTGTGAGTAATCTATAGTTACTAAGAGAAAGCCTATACAGAAGTTTGTTTTGAAACCAATGATGCATAATGGTAGTCTTAACATTTTGAACAAGTTTTTTTGTGCAAATCCTCATGAGATGTAGGTCTTTTAGGGAGAAGGCACCTATTTAGATCCTGCATAAACATTTCTAAGTAATGTAATGACTTTGAGAAGTAGAGGTAGGCCTCCTTAAGTTGTATGCTGGATGCCACCCTGACTTGAGCCTCCTCTCTTCAAAGTCTGGCCTGTTTGTGCAAAAGCTTAAGACTAGAAAAGCTCTTTTGGATGTATTAAACCCAACTATTTGATTATATCAATCAGTGTTTTAGGACTGGGACCAGACACAAAACTGGAATGCTTCCCGGGTTGTGGGTTAAACGTTTTGGCTGTGATTTGCATATTTAATATATTTAGAACTTTTTGCAAAACATAACACATCTTATGCATTGGCGGGATGGTTAACTCATTGTTTTATATCTTATGTGTGTTGAGTTGGGCCGATTTTTAGTTATTGGGCCCAGTTATTTATTTCTTATTTTTAAGTTTAAGTTAAGAAGTTGTTGGGCTTTAGGCCCATTAGTTTATGTTTTTAAGTTGTAACTGTTCAACTACTTAAGTAGCCGCCCTAATAAGGGCATTCTTGTAATATCTTATTCTTTTAAGTTGAGTATATAATACAAAGAGAGGTTGGCGGCCAGAACTAATTCAATTCTGGTTGACATCCTACTCCTTTTCTTCTCTTCCTTTCTTCTCTACTGCTGAAACTCTTCATCATCTTCTTTCTCTTCACAAGGAATTTATCTAAAACTGCAATCGGTGATTTCTACTTGGTATCAGAGCAAGCCGAAGGTTCCTTGAGCTGTTCGATCATGCAGCCCTAGATTGGCCGATTGCATGGTGATTTAAGAGGTTATCAAAGATCTCAGGTAAGCCTAGTTTTTGGACTTTTTGGTGGATTTGTTTTGCCCTGTAGTTGGTCTAGGGTTTCCCATCAAAATCAGGAGAAATTGGAGAAAGGGGGAGAGTCATGTTTCTGTTGGACACTTCAATTTTGACCTAGGAAGTGGCGCCCTAATTTTTTAGGGTTCCTTGGAGTTTTTTGAGGGGGGCGGTTCAAGTCCTACCTGTTTTGGAGGTTTTTGGAGAGAGCGACTGCCTCTTCTCTCTCTTCTCCCATCTTGCAGAAAAGGAATCTTTTGTGGGAGGACCATCTAGGGCACCAGAAGGGTGTCGTTGGTACCAAGAGTGATTATTTGATATTCTTGCATATTATAGCAACTTTTTACCCTCTTTTTGATAATTATGGAGGGTAACGGAGTTGAAAACAAGCCCGGGAGTGAAATGAGACCAGTGGGAGGAGGTACCAGAGACCTTTTTGGGGCTGGAACCATTATTAGTACAGTTAAGTTGGATGGTTCAAATTACTTAGAATGGTCACAATCTGCAAAGATGGCCATTGGTGCTCATGGGAAGTTAGGGTATATCACTGGTGAAGAAGTGAAACCTGAAACTAACAGCTCCCGGTGGGTACAAGAAAACTATATGGTGATAAATTGACTGTGTAATTCAATGCTGCCCCATATAAGTAAAAATTTTTTGTGGGCAAATACAACTAAGGAAATATGGGATGGGGTTGCAGAAACCTATTCACAGAGGGAGAATGTTGCTAGGACTTATCAGTTGAGAAATTAGATTATTGTTACAAGGCAGGGAGATAGACCTATTGCTGTTTACTTTTCAGCCCTTAAAACCCTGTGGCAAGAGATTGACCATTTGGAGACAATGGTTTGAGAAACCACTAAGGATGCAGTTGCTTATCAGAAGCTCCTAGAGAAGTATAGGGTTTTTGAATATCTTGTTAGCCTTAATCCTGAGTATGATATTGCAAGACAACACATTCTTTCTAGGGACAATGATACTCTCTCCCAAGCATATGCCTTTGTGTCAGGGGAAGAGAGCAGGAGAAATGTGATGATGAAAAATTTTGGTTTTGATCAATCAGCCATGGTTAGCACTGCGAGACCTAAACAAAGTGGAGACCGGGGTGGCAGTGAAATCAAGAAGGAAGACAAAAAGGATTTGATTTGTGAACTATTGTAAGAAGCCTAAACACACAAGAGATACTTGTTGGAAGTTTCATCCTCATCTGGTGCCGAATAGACTCAAAAACAAGAAAGGAAATGCTCACATGGCAGTCACTGGTGACATACCGGCCCCTTCCACTACAACTACTCTAGAGTCTGTTGCAGTTGCTGCAGTGAGGGCCGAACTTGAGAGATATGGGCAGTTCCTGAATCAGCGGGATACAGTCAGTTCTAATTTAGTAAGAGGTGGACAGCCAGGTACAGGTGGTTCTGGTGGAGCACACTCTACTTCCTTTGCTCACACAGGTAGTTCACATGCCACTGCAAATTATGTTTCTACTATAGGTAAGGAGGGACCTCCTTGGATTATAGATTCTGGAGCCTCAGAGCACATGACCCATAGTTTCACTATCTTTTCCTCTTGCTAACTCTGTTATGGAAGAGACAGAGTCTCCACAGCTAATGGATCTCATGTTCCCATTGCTAAGAATGGGTCTGTCAAGATTATTGATTCCATTTCCCTTCCCTCTGTCCTTCGTGTTCCCAGATTGAGTACTAACCTGTTATTTGTTAGTAGTTTGACTAAGAACCTGAACTGTTCAGTAATTTTTTCTCCTGGTCATTGTATTTTGAAGGATCTGGATTCAAAGAGGACGATTGGGAGTAGTCGTGAAGTGAATGGAATCTACCTCCTAGATGTGCTTCCTCATCAGGGTCATCATGTCAGTAGGGATAGTGAGTCAGGGCTTGTGAGTCAGATTATGCTTTGGCATAATCATTTAGGTCATTTGTCTTTTTCTTCTTTGAGTTTCTTGTTTCCAAAGCTTTTTGAGTCTGTTAATTTGTCAAGTTTGGAGTGTGAAGGTTGTCAAGTTGGAAAATATTGTAGACATTCCTTTAAAGCTATTAATAAAAGATGTTCATCTCCTTTTGATGTTGTTCATTCTGATGTGTGGGGACCTTATCATGTTCCTTCTATCGGTGGTTATCGATATTTTCTCTTATTTGTGGATGATTTTTCTCGATATTCTTGGATTTACTTATTGAGATCTCGAGATGAGGTATCATCCTTGGTAAGGCAATTTCATCAGATCGTGCTAACACAGTTTGGGATATGAATAAAGGTGTTTAGGTCAGATAATGCCAAGGAATATTTTGAAAAACATTTTTCTTCGTATCTGTTAGAATATAGTGCTGTCCGTCAGAGCAGCTGTTTCTACAGTCCACAGCAGAATGGTGTTGCAGAGAGGAAGAACATGCACATTGTTGAGATTGCAAGGAGCATGATGATCACATCTATAGTTCCAGTTCGTTTTTGGGGTGATGCAGTTCTCGCAGCAGCCTTTTTGATTAATAGGGTGCCCTCCCGTATACTTGGATTTAGCACTCCATTCAGTCTCATTTTTCCAGAGGGGAAATGTTCCATATTCCTCTTAGAGTGTTTAGGTGCGTTTGCTTTGCACATATTCTTGGTCCTCATCGTTCGAAGTTTGATCCGAAGGCAAAGAAGTGTGTCTTCCTTGGATATGTAGAAAATCAGAAAGGGTACTGCTGCTATGATCTAGTCTCTAGGAGTTGGTATGTTACCATGGATGTCACATTTTTTGAGTCCACATCCTTTTTTCTCGAAGAATCCTTCTTAGTGGGAGTGTTTTGGGGAAGTGAGTTGAGCAGTCTATCCCTCTTCCGGTTCCAGTTCTTGTGTCCACTACTGTGTCTGATCCTCTTATGTCACCTGCCTTACCACCTCCCTTGTGTCCTGCTTCTCAGTGTTACTCACGACAGAGACTTCACAGGGAGGTTGATTCCACTGTAGCAGAACTCACATCACTTCCTGTCGGTTCCTTGGAGACTTCAAATTCAGCTGACACAAATTAAGGTATTCCTCTTGACCCCTCTACTGTTTCAGTTCCCATTGATTCTACTAATCCCATTACAGATAACCTGGACCTTCCTATTGCTCTCAGAAAAGGGAAGAGAAAGTGTACTGCTCATTGTATTTCATAGTATTTATCCTACAGTGGACTTTCTCCTTCCTATCGTGTTTTCCTTTCCTCTCTTGACTTTGTGTCTATACCCAAGGGTGTCTGTAAAGCTCTCTCCAAACCTGAGTGGAAGACAACTATGCAGGAAGAGATGGAAGCCTTAATTAAGAATCAAACATGGGAGATTGTGGATCTACTTGAGGGCAAGGAAACTGTTGGATGCAGATGGGCTTACACAATTAAATATAAGGCAGATGGAAGTATAGAAAGGTATAAGGCCAGACTTGTTACAAAAGGGTACACACAGACCTATGGCATTGATTACTTAGAGACCTTTGCACCTGTTGCAAAGATGACTTCTGTTCGGATATGCGAAGAATGCTTTCTTAAATGGAGATCTGTAAGAGGAAGTGTATATTGGGTCTTCCTGCCGGTTTCTACAGTGATGCTGAAAAGGGAAAGGTATGCAGACTTAAAAAGTCACTTTGTGGTTTAAAGCAATCACCCAGAACATGGTTTTACAAGTTCAGGAAGGCCTTGGTTGCTTTTGGCTACACTCAGACTCAATCTTACCATACACTGTTTGTGAAGCGGAGGGGATCCTTGGTGTCAATCCTAATTGTTTATGTGGATGATATTGTTGTCACAAGGAATGACGTAAGTGAGATTGACAGTTTGAAGAAGAATCTACATAGGGAATTTGAAATTAAGGATCTTGGAGAGCTTAGGTACTTATTAGGCATTGAAGTTGCAAGATCAAAACATTGAATCTTTATCTCTCTGAGGAAGTATGTTCTGGATCTTCTACAAGAAAAAGGGAAGCTTGGAACAAAGGTAGCCAGCACTCCTATTGATCAGAATCACAGAATTAATGCATCAGAAGGTGAGCTGGTAAAGGACATTGGGGGATATCAGAGACTTGTGGGGCGGTTGCTGTATTTGTGTATGAAAAGACCAGACATCTCCTATGCAGTGAGTGTGGTGAGTCAATACATGCATGCCCCACGAGTCCAACATTGGGAGGCTGTTGACAGTATTCTTGCTTATTTGAAGGGACACCCAGGCAGAGGTATACTATTTGCTGATCAAGGACAGTTGAAGCTAGAGGCTTATACAGATGCTGATTGGGTAGGATGCCTTGATGACAAGAGAAATACTTCAGGAGTCTGCACCCTTGTTGGGGGTAACCTAGTCTCGTGGAAAAGTAAGAAACAGACAGTGTTGGCAAGATCCAGCGTAGAAGCAGAATACAGGGCCATGGCACATGGAGTTTTAGAATTTCTCTGGATCCGTTCCCTATTGGGAGAGATTGGTGTACAGGCAGAAGAACCTATGATGCTGTACTATGATAACCAGGCAACAATTAACATTGCCCATAACCTAGTTCAACATGATCGGACTAAGCACATTGAAGTGGATAGGCATTTCATCAGAGAAAGGGTGACTTTTGGGAAAGTTTGTCTCCCATACATAGCTTCTGATATGCAACTTGCTGATGTTCTCACAAAAGGTGTTGCAAGAAACAAGTTGGAGCATGATCTACACAAGTTGGGAATGTGTGACATTTACTCCCAACTTGAGGGGGAGTGTTGAGTTGGGCCGATTTCTAGTTATTGGGCCTAGTTATTTATTTYTTATTTTTAAGTTGTTAAGTTAGGAAGTTATTGGGCTTTAGGCCCATTAGTTTATGTTTTTATGTTGTAAATGTTCAACTACTTAAGTAGCCACCATACTATGGACATTCTTGTAATCTCTTATTCTTTTAAGTTGAGTATATAATACAAAGAGAGGTTGGCGGCCAGAACTAATTCAATTCTGGTTGACATCCTACTCCTTTTTTTCTCCTCTTTTCTTCTCTACTGCTGAAATTCTTCATCTTCTTCTTTCTCTTCACAAGGAATTTATCTAAAACTACAATCAGTGATTTCTACTATGTGAATATATATATATATATTTAATTATATGTATGTATGTATGTATATATTTTTAATTATATTAGAAACACAAATTTAAGCACAAATAACAAGATGGATTAATGGTAATAAGCTAACTTAGCTAAATGTTAGATTGCAAGTTTGAATGTTAAGACATGCATTTTAGGTTTTAGAGCATTTACCAACCTGGGTGGGTTGTTAAAACCGGTTGTGTCGTCAAAATGCAGCCGGCTTTCAACAATTCTGCTGGGTTGTAACCAGTTCAACCATTTTTGAGAAATTTAAAACCCAGGGTTCTAAAAAATCGGAATGGTCTCTGGTTCCTGAGTCTAATTGTCCAAATGTCTGGTCTGGTCCAGGTCTTAAAAACATTGATATCAATTACCATATGTTCCAATAAGCTAGTATAGAATCTCTCAAATTAAGTTATTGTTGCTAGTTATATGACTTTAGTTTTAAGCTTTGTGGATTACCTTGATCAATGTATGATCAAATTCCCAAGTCTGAAGTGTTTTGCGGTTAAGTTTGCTTTGATTCATGCCAAATTGTTTATAAGAAAGTATTCATGCAGGAATAGATATTAAAGTTGGTTTGTACTAAGAATATGATCCTTTTTTTTTTTAATGTTTGAAATGAATGGCAACTTATTTGTTCTTCAAGTTGATCTTCTGACTTGCTTAATGGTTATTCCAGCGAGCCTCTCATGTGTATTCTGAAGCTAAGCGTGTCCATGATTTCAAGGACACTGTCTCATCAAACCTAAGGTGCATTTCATTTTAAATCTCCAATTATTATTTCTTTTGGTGTTTTCATGCTTTTGTAGTGCACTTGTTATGTTACTCAACTGATATGGGTGGGTATCTTTTCTTACATTTTAATTGAAGCTTAGGTACTAAGATACCCATGCATAACAGAGAAAATATATGTTCATAGTATGATATATGGTCATATTCTGTGGCATGACCAAAAGTGCAGATGAATAAATATATGGGTGTTCCCTTTTTGCTCCTGAGAAATGGATCTTATGATTGAACCCTGTAGCCTGTAGGTGGAATTAGGGGTCTATATTCTGAGCCACAGCTTCCAAGTCTTGACCAGCAATATGATTTCCATATATGGACCAAATATTCTAGCAAACTTTATGAGGAACTATTGGTTAGTTTTGAGTTAATGAAATTACCATAAACTTTTAGCTTGGTTGAAGGGAAACAGTCAATATCTGGCAGGTAGCTGGAGACATGTTACATTTTCCAAATCTTTGTAATTGCTAATTTCTAAGAGCTATGTTGCAGTGACGAGGACAAACTAAAACAACTTGGTGACCTCATGAATGAAAGCCATTACAGCTGCAGTGTTCTCTACGAGTGCAGGTAGTCCAATTCTTTACTTGAATGCATGGTTCACATTGTATATCCAAAACATATGCGTACAAGCATTTGTATATCCATTCAACCATGTAAAGAAATGTGTAGTTGACATTCTAAAACTTTAGGCTCCATTTGGTTTGCAGGAAGATTTGGGTGGGATGGAAAAATATGTGATGAGAAAGTGTGAAATTTTCATTTTCCATTGTTTATTTACACGAGAAAATAGTTGGGATATTCCTTTTCCCATGTTTGGTTTCCAAAAAAAGGTATTCACTAGAGGGACCCCTAACTACCTCTCTCATTAGGCTCTCAAATAGGAAACACAATGGCATCTTCTATTCAACTTGAGAAGAAAATGATCACACAGCTTGAAGCAAAATGAATAAAATAACCCAGACATCTTGAAGACACAAAATACATGCAAGAACCTAATGCAAAACAAATTGGTTCAGGATAATTGCCAGAGCATGGTGACCATCAATTCATGCATAGGAATGGAGATGAAGTCTGAACTCTTATTCCAAAAAATTGAAGGTCAACGAACATATTTCAGCATCACCCAGCAGTGATGCCGATATGGGAATTGTAAACCTGAAGTGAGGTAGAGAACCTACTCTAGTGTAGCCCTTAGGACACACTAGTTTGCTTTGGAGAGATTGAACCAACTGTGAAAACATAATTTAGATTGATTGGCTAAGGATGAAGTGATATTATGTGAATCTCTTTACCAAAAGGCGAATGTGCTTGGAAGATGATGGATTGGATCCCTTGTGTCTTTAACGTGGTTTTCCTTAGTGTCTTTCTCTAGGTATCCTATAGAGAGCAGACAATGGCACGAGTCAAGATGAAGTTGGTTGGCCATCGGAAACGGTGTGGAGGTTCTTGAACAACAATGTTGGTTGATGGAGTGTAGTGAACAAATTCTCTGCTTCATTGTTCTTTGTTCACTCAATCATCCAAATGTAGAAGCCTTCCCCTTAGTTTTGCAATGGGACTGGCTAGTGATTTAAAAGGCGCGCCTAGGTGCATTTTAGGGTATGCACCTTGCCTAGGTCCTAGGTGCCAGCCCTTTCAAAAGGCACATATTTGGTGCGCCTTTTGAAAATTTGACACTTTTTTGCTTTTTATGAACCTAGCGGTTGGGCTGGGGATCCACCCCCAGATCCCCATGCCACACCCCTTGAGGCAAGCCCAAACAAGTCCATGCTAAGGTCTTAAATTCTTAGTTAACACACAAAAAATGATGATTTTATAATTTTAAGCTTTTTAAGAAGATATTTTATTAGGATACTTGTCTAGTAAGACTGCAATCAGTCCTAGTTGTAATGTAAAATAAACAAGAAAGAAAGTTGAGAATAAGAGAAGAGAAGAAGAGAAGGAGAAGATGAAGAGAAGAAAGTCAAAAAGAGTGTGGGTCTTGATTGAGATTGCCACCCCACTCAGCTATTTATATTAATAGTTTAAACATGGTTAAAAAACCAGAATTACCCCTACTGCTTACATAAGCTAAGAAATAATAGAAATAGAAAATAACTACCAACTACCACTAAGTAACATATATAGACAAATAGTAGTGGGGACCACATTATTGTTCTACATCTATACACTCCCCCTCAAGTTGGGAATAAATATTAGTCATTCCCAACTTGCATAAGTCTGGCTCCAACTTTGTCTTTGAAACTGCCTTAGTGAAGAGATCTGCAAGTTTGCATGTTAGAGGTGATATATGGAAGACACGCTTCTCGGGAAGCAACTCTCTTTCTGGTAAAGTGTTGATCCACTTTAATATGCTTAGTTCTGTCATGTTGTATCGGATTATGGGCAATGTTAGCTGCTTGATTATCATAGTACGACATCAGGGGCTTCTCATAAGCAATACCCAACTCCTCATAGGGATTTCAACCATAACACTTCAGCCACACCATTCGCCATAGACCTATATTCAGCTTCAGCATTGGAGCGAGTAACAACATTTTGTTTTTTACTTCTCCAAGAAACAAGATTTCCTCCTACAAAGGCACAATACCCAGAGGTAGACCTCCTATCATCAACACTTCTAGCTCAATCAGCATCTGTGTAAACTTTTATTTTCATGTGACCATTATTTTTTAAGAGTATACCTCTATCTGGACATCCCTTCAAATACGCTAGTATCCTCTCAACTGCAAGTAGGTGAGCGGTTCTAGGGGAATGCATACTAGCTAACAACACTGACTACATAAAAGATGTTTGGTCGTGTGAAACAAAGAGAAGTTTTCCAACCAACCGTTGAAACATAACTTTATCTTCAAGGGGCTCTCCACCTTGTACACCAATCTTGTGATTTTGTTCAATAGGTGTGTCAGTAGGCTTAACACCTAGCTTCCCAGTTTCTTCCAAAAGATCAAAAACGTACTTCATTTGGGAAACAAAAATCCCATGTTTAGATCTAGGTACCTCAATACCCAAGAAATAACGTAGCTCTCCCAAGTCTTTGACTTCAAATTCTTGGTGAAGGAGTTGCTTAAGAGAGTCAATCTCACAGGTATCACTCCCTGTCACTACAATATCATCCACATATACAGCAAGTAGGGTTAAGGAGGAACCCACTTTTTTAATAAAAAGAGTGTGATCTGATTGAGCTTGCACATAGCCGAATTTTTCAAGAGTCTGTCTAAATCCATCAAACCAGGCTCTGGGAGACTGTTTCAAGAGTCTGCCTAAATCTTTAGCTGTATCTAGGAACATAAAGTTCACGCTAATTTTTTGTTCCATGCTATTCCACAGCCATGTCATTATTTGTGCATCATCCCGTTCTCAGTCACTAAACCTCGAAGAATCAGAGGAGGGTTTCTCCTCTCTCACATGTTTTACCTTTTTCTTGGCTTTTAAAAACACCTCCACAGATTTTGCCCACGGCACATAATTCTYACCATTCAACTTAATAGATGTCATTTGAACATTTAGGTAATCTGGAGAAATCATAATGCCTGTTTTATTGTCATTCCCATCTCCAAACGATGCCATCTTAACTAATTCACATTCAAATATTCAGCACAACTTCACGCACTTCCACAAAACTTATCTCACTCTCAGCCCCACCAACTTCTTCAAATATACATTGCACATCAAATACAAAAACTGAAATCACTCGGTCATTAAATCAAACACCTGTACTACACACTGCAGAACCATTCACACACCAAATACAAGGGCGGAAGTCCATCAGCCATTAAACCAAACACAGAAATCAGTATAATCACCACCACATGACACAAGGTTTCACTTTCAACTATTCAGAATCACCCACACACCATTCAACACAGTACAACCACCACCACACTACTGTTGTCATGAACTTCAGCAGTCGAAAAACTCTACTTTCAGCACACATATGAGGTAAAAACAGAGAAGAACAAGGCTGATATGCATACTAATCACTTCAAACCTCTACAAAAAAATATTTTGAACCAAAACACAGCATTTACAGTCCACTATTTGGGCAAAAAACAGAACTGCTCATATCTGTCCACAAACAGCCCTCTTCGTATCACAGAATAGAGGGCATCTAGTACACAACCTCAATGACCACCACCACAGTAACTGGAGACGTACTCACTCCAAAACCACAAAACAACCACTCCTTTTTGGCCTCTTGTCAAGCTTCCACTCAGGCTAGAAGAAAATCAAAGAAAGTTGAAATAGTTGGCGGTGAACCCAGGAAGAAGACATACTCAACGACCACCACCACAGTAACTGGAGACATACTCACCTCCAAAACCACAAAACAACCACTCCTTTTAGGCCTCTTGTCGAGCTTCCACTCAGGCTAGAAGAAAATCAAAGAAAGCTGAAATAGTTGGCGGTGAACCCAGGAAGAAGACAAACAGTGAGGAAAGAAAAAAAGAGAAAAGAGAACTAGGTTTTATTGCTCTGATACTATGTGAAATCCCTATTCGATTCTAGGTTAAAGTAGAGAAGAAGAAGTGAAAGAAGAAGAAGAGAAGAAGAAGAAGAAGGGTTCGGCCAGATTAGGAAAATCAATCCACCTCTGGCCGACCCACTTGTATTTATCTCCAATAACATAGTTACAAGAAAGACCATATTGTCCCTCATAAGTGATGGGACACATAACTTAAACTTAAATAAAATAGACCTTTCACTCTCAAATGGATAAACCCAAATGACCAAAATACCCCTGATTTGTGTATTCTAACAATCTGTAACAATCAATTGAGTGGGCATGAATGAAATAATCTCTTAGTCTCTCCCGTCTTTCTTCCTCTCTTTCTCTCTCTTCCATTTCAGGTGGGTGAGCTCCCTCGAACCAGCCCTTCTACTGTAATGAGATCAACAATCCCATCACTCTCTCTCTCTCTCTCTCTCTCTCTCTCTATTTTCACTCTCTCTGTTCTTCCCTCTCTCTGCCATTCAAATGGAAGCCAAGAAACCCTTCTCCCATTCCTCTCTCTCTCTCTCTCTCTCTCTCAGCTGCACACCCCAATAAATGGTGGAAATAATCAAAGAGAAGACTTGTAAATGGCAAATCTATGTTCTCTGGTTAGAAAACTCTCCATGGTTGTTGGAATCCATGGAAGATAGATTTTCTGCCCATCATATTGTAGACTGAGAATGCATCTCTAAACTCAAAAGTGACAAAGAAATATACAAAAGAGCATTGTAGATGAACGTAGAGGGTGTGGATTCAACCTTACCTTGATTTGAAACTGCAAGGATCGACACTGGAGTTCAACTGTTCAAGAAGAGTTTCACAGTCTAGCAAAGGAGGCAATAGATGGTCTGAGAATACATGGTATTTTTTACCATGGTCTCTCTATTTCCTTTCTCATTGGGGTTCAACTGATTTGGTGTTACCCTTGCATCCCTAGTTAGTTTTTTTTTTTTTTTTTGATAGCTACTTGCATCCCTAGTTTTGGTGTTTCTCAAAATAAAAATGTGAAAATAGAATAATACTAGTATGTTCCGTGTTTCCCATCCTTTTCCCACAAATTAAACAGAGCCTAGGGTTATATGCCATTCATGAATGCCACCTTATCCATTTTATTTATTTATGTGAAATCTGTACATGATTCATATTTGTTTGCATACAGGCCAGTCTATCTTAAAATGTTTGAAGTTAATATTTCACATTATCCTTTTGAGGACTGCAGTATAGGATATGGACAGCAAAGCCAGTTATACCATATTACTCTAATGATGCCCTACCTCTATTATCTTTTAACAATACCAAAATCCCAAACAGGCATATTATTGAGTACCTAAGTTGCGGGGGTGGATTATAGCCACCCCAATTTTTATTGGGCTTTCTCGGTTCTCGCATTGCATGGGCTTAGCCTCGCATGAGAAAATAGGAGGGACTTCGATGTGAACCCTAAAGACAAAACCAGCTGTTTTGCCAACTGTGCCATCAACACTTAACTACCCCTCGGGGGGCTTACGCCATCTATGAATCTGCTGGGGTGGAGTCTAAATAGAAGATAAAGGCTAGGGGTGAGAAAATGGGTCGGTTCTACCTGGAACTGAATTGAACTGACCTTGAACTGATCCTACCCAATCTGTTACCGTGTAGGGTCCAATTCCAAATTCTTTGAACTGATCCCCACCCAGGCTGATTCCAAGGTTTGGGATCTTACCCTACCTGAGGTCCCGAATTGATTTAGAGAGCTGACCTTGATTACCCTACTCAAGGTTCCAAACCGCCAAGATCCTTAGGTTTTAGGAGATGCTCCTAACGCATAAGGTGAAATTTCTTTGACCCATTGAAGAAATGCTCATTTCCCCACCAAAAATTCTTACAAATAGAGTTTAGTTTCTTGCTTGTAGTTTAGGGAAGGAGGTAGGATTGCATGTGATAGATTGGAGAACTCTCTAGTGTTGATTTGATGGGAATGGTCCTTCCGGATTGAGAAAGTGACTTGGACTTCCATCCTGAAAGTTTTTTCTTCATCTTCTCAATGAGCATTTACCAACCATGTACATTTGAGTTTTTACCTGTGGAAAAACATTGGTCCACCAAGATACTTCTTATGAGACATCATCTTCACTCCAAGAATGTTAGTGATACGATGCCATATCCTTCTATGAGTATTCTTGCTTAAATGGATAGATGATTTTTGGTAGTTTATGGCTTGACCCAACCACTTACAAAAGGTGTTGAGCAGCTCCAACATATGAGTAACTTTTGTCATAGAACACTTTCCAAACAAAAGATCGTTAGCAAACTGTAAGTGTTTTATTTTCATGCCTGATCTACCAAACTTTATGCCATGCAGCTCATTATACTCCAGCTTTATATTGAGAATGTGTGAGAGCACTTCAGTACATAATATGAAGAGATAAGGAGAAAGAGGGCAGTCTTGCCTCAAACCTTTTGTAGGAGCAAAAGATCTGCCCATGAACACCATTAAGTAAAATAGAGAATTTTGAAAATGAGAGCAAAATTATTGATTAAAACAAGGGAAGAAAGCATCTGCATCAGGAAAGCCCACCTAATTCTGTCATATGCTTTAGAGGAATCCAACTTTAGAGAAAATAAGAAGTCTTTCTTTTCTGCTTGTTCATGGAGTGAAGGATCTTTTGAGTGATGATTGTTTTTGTTACATGCCTCCCTGGTTTGAAGGCACTTGGAAAAGGGGAGAGGATAGATGGCAGAAGAGGCTTCAGTGTTTGAACAATTATCTTGGTGATAACTTTGTACAGCACATTGCTAAGGCCAATGGGTCTGTCTTTCCCGTGCTCAACAATACAACCTTTTGGAAGCAAACAAATATAGGTGTCATTAATATCTAATCTTTGTCGGGTCTCTAAAACAGTCTTGAACTAGAAAGATGGCATCATTTCCCAAGATATGCCAATACTTAAGGAACACCAGTGCATGATACCCATCTGGGCCGGGAGCTTTGAGGGCTGCAATGCTACATAGCCTCTTTGATTTCAGTGGTATCTGGAATCATACAAAGTCTCATGTTCACTTCATTAGTTATTTTAGGAGGCAAGCCACTAAAACCAGAGATGTCTAGAGAAGAGGAAGTGAACATATTATCAAAATAGTTGGATAGAGTGTCTCACTTATCTTTCTTCGAGATGATGTCCATTGTCGCTGAGAGTCCTTGAGCCAACGAATTGCATTTCTTCTCCTGTTTGAAGCACAGATATGATAGAAACGAGTGTTTCTATCCCCTTCATGTAACAAATGGGCCTTGGCTCGGGCTTTCTAGTACAGCTCTTATTGCACAAGTACATTTTCTAGCTCACATCTCAAACTGGGTTCAGTTTCGATCATGTTGCCAGCATCATTCGAACTCTGCTACTTAGATAATCTCTCTTCTAGAGATCTGATATTGGGTTCAATACCACTGTAACCGGCTCCTGCACTTCTTTCTTGAAAGCTTAAGTTGTTTATAAGGGTGGGGAAAACTAGTTTATTTGAACCAGTGCACTTCAAATCTAGTGATGTGGGCAGCAGTAGCTTCATTGAAAAGATGTAAAATAAGGGGGCAATGGTCACTTGCATAGTATGGTAAACGAATAACATTTGCAATTGGGAAGATACTCGGCCAATCATGCAAAATCAGAACCTGATCAATTCTGTTTTGAACAAGCTGGCCATACCCAAATCAATTAATCCACAAGTATCTGTTATGGCATTGAATGCTGTTGTAGTGCTTTTAGAAGGTGATTACCTCCCGACTTCTCAACTCAAGTGTAGAAGCAATGCAAGTTAAATTGCCATGCAAACTCCATGGATTTGAAGCAGATGCCGCAAATTATACTTTACCTTCTCTCGAGAAGATATAAGGTGGGCAAAGGTCTAATGGTTTCCATTAATTGCTCCCTTCCCATGGGAAATTTCCTGGGCAGCTGGGCCTCTGCTTAATTGTCCGTTCTTGTTGCCATGGATAATTTTTTAAGGAAAAATGACGTAACAGAATCCCATATGCCTGAAGATAGTTATTCTGAATTCTGCTCGGTAACTTTTTCCTCTTTTTTTTCCTCGACTTCAGCTGCCCTGAGTTGGAAGAACTGGTAAAGATTTGCCGGGAAAATGGAGCACTTGGAGCAAGGCTTACAGGAGCTGGATGGGGTGGCTGTGCTGTTGCCTTGGTCAAGGAGAATATCGTCCCACAATTCATCCTCAATTTGAAGGTTAGTCTTGTGTTCTGTCCGACCAGATTTTCTTGTCTTCTGTTAGGAAAAATTAACTTAAGCTACATGGTTTTTGATCTTCTTGGTGCTTATCTGTTTCAGGAATCATTTTATCAGTCAAGGATAGAAAGGGGGGTTATCAATAAGAACGATCTTGGCCTCTATGTTTTTGCTTCAAAGCCATCTAGTGGAGCTGCAATATTCAAGTTTTAGTTACACCAGTGTAAACATTGGTGGAAAGCTGTTTGGTCAGCTTTAATTAAGATGGATGATAATGTGATGTCCTTGTTCCCAGAAATAATCCTGCTTCTATCATGTTAGGGACATCTTTGCATAGTTTTCCTTATGAAGACAAAAGGTAAAAGGAAAAAAAAAACCCTTCAATGTTAAAGCATCAATACATATTAGACTATGTGGTCTGAATCATCTGATACGGCCTTTTGGCATGGGTGGAATGGCCCAGAATCACACATGTATCAGTTCAGGCTGGCTTGTATTGGCTATTTATCAGTTATGTATTGGTGTGTAATTAGGTTTTACATGGCCATTATGGGCTGAAGGGCCATTAGATTCTATAGCCTAGCATGGCCGTGTTTGGCCGAGCTTCTCCAAATGGGGGTTTTCATTTTTGTGATTTTTATGTTGTTGAAGCCAAAAGCTAATAAAGAATCACTTGGTCAAAAAGTTTAAAACAGGTTTTTAAAATGTAAAAAGTCCATTTGAAAAAGCAGAGAAAACCCTCAAAGAAGCTATTTCAAAAAAAAAAAGGGGGGGGGGGGAAATCTATGATGCAGAAAAGATATGGTATGGAAAGAGTTTTGATCAATCAAAACCCACCCATGAATTTTGATAAATAATAGCTTATTTGCTACCATGTTTATGATTTCAGTTTATTGGTCAATTGTTTTTCGGGTATTATATCTTTTCCATATTCGAATCCCCCCAAAAAAAGCTGGTGAGTAGTAACTAATTATACACTAAAAAAGCGTTTTTTTCCCCCAAAAATCCCCTCTCAACAAGTTTTCCAAGAGGTTTTCCTATTGTTTCCTGATGCATAAACTTTGAATCTGGGTCGTCTTTTAAGTTTTAGTGTCATTAATATATTTTTGATATTTTAATTTTTCCAATCATATTCACGTGTTTCCAAATCATATCCCAACATGTCTCTTTAGAATGCTCTTGAATATGCCTACGTATGCTAGGGAAGGTAATATAAATGATAAAAATATAAGAAAATGCATATTGTAATCGTTTATTTGAACTTCAGCAAAACAGACAGGTATTTTATGATAATTTCTTCAAGAAGATCAATAAGTTGCTAAAATTAAGAAAGCTCAACTTATGCAAAAATTTTAGAATGTATAGGAATGGTATATAATATAAAAATGTACAAAGATCAGCAAGTGTAAACTAATAGAAATATCCTACACATAATAATTTATATTAATGCAGGAGCCAGGAATAAACATACCTTCAATTCCAAATCCTTATTAATTTGAATCCCTCCTTTATTAATCTACATGTTAATTCCATCACTAAAAAATTCTTTTTAAATTTTGAAAAAATCTATAATGCTGGAAAGGCTTTGGCAATCAAATCTCCATGTGAATTTTGTTGAAACCACACCAGATTGGTTACCACTAAGATGATGTCGGTTGATTAGTTACAAGTTTTTCTCATATCATGGCTTTCCGGCATCATAGTTGGAACCCTTAAATTTTAAATCCAATTTTTAAAATTTAAGTTTCAAATCCTTTCAATTAATTATAACACAAATAATAATATGCTTTCCCGATTATGCCTCTTTATTCTGCAATCCAGCCATATTATATATATATATATATATATATATATATATGCATTGGTATTTTGAACCTAGCATTAGTACTTTGAACCTTGTTCATCCCTAAAATTCGACCACTTCATTATCACCGAAGGAACTTTTAGACATGGTTTTCAAAATTGGATTGGATCTAAAGGTTGGACTGGAAAATTCAATCGGTTCCATTTCACCCAAAAATCACTTTTGGCCAAAAACCATTGATCTGGTGGTCAATGAGCCATCCGCTCATTTCACCCAAAAATCAATTCGGACAACGATTTTTGGACATTTTTAATTTCTTTGGTTAGAATGAGCCATCCGCTCAAACCGGACAGTTGGACCATTCAACTTGGGAATCAGTCCCAAAAACTTCCCTGTCCATGTTCGATCCAGATTTAAAATCCTTGCATTTGGATACCGAGCATCAATTTCTATCTACCATCAAGTACCAAGCCAGGAAATATTTTTGGAAGCATTGTGGGTGCAGAATCAATGGGAACATGCACAAATCTGAACCGTGGAACCATCGACTGATGGAAGCTTGAAATCTCCTAGGGTTTGTTTTTTAAAGAGATTCTAGCTGATAAGGGCAACTTTTGGGCCCTATTATCTATAAAAATGATCTTTTCAGCATAATTTTTAGAATATGCTAACTTTTTTAATTTTTATATCAAATATGGGCAAAAACACTGCTCATCTTCCTCTTCCTCCAGACCACTGAACAAATCTCCCCATCTCTCTCTCTCTCTCTTCTTCTTCACTGCATCTGAGATGTTCCAAACCTAGAGCATAACTGCTATGAGTTATTCTTCTAAAGCAGTTAGAAGAATACATGAAACACCATACCAGGTATACGAATCGACGGTTTGGTTCCAGCTAATAAGCCTGTTAGAGGTATCTGAAGCAGTTTTGAATGCCATTGAAACATGAAAATCAGGATTGGGGAAGATTTGTTCATGGTAAGGAGGAAAGAGATGAATAGTATTTCTGCCCTTATTTGATATATTTTTTTAAAAAAAGTTAAACTATTTTAATAATTATGTTAAAAAGATTATTCTTATTGATATTAGGGCCCAAAAGTTGCCCTTATCCGAAGCAATCATTTTTTCTAAACGACCAACATAGTTATAGATGTAGAAATTAAAACACATTTAATGTGTAAAAGTATACAAACATTCATGGCTTACTTCAGATTCAGTTCACAACTAAAATTTTATTTGTTCTAGTGACTGTGGGGACGTGCTACCCCGTCTTGTGTATCTCCTCTGGATTTATCAAAAAAAAAAATAATAAGGTTCACAACTAAAATTGTTTTTTTTATTCTAAATACTCCTATTTCCTTTTCCTTCTTTTTACCGTGAAGACAAGTAAATATATTTTACCCAAGAAAAAAAAAAGTTCCGTACTTCTATTTAATGTTTTCCATGTTCATATAAACAATTGACATGCCTTCACTCGTCAAACTTGATTACGCAGTGACCCATCTTACAACTAACTATCCATCAGGGTCCATCTCTAGAATATTCCATTTTAAAGAGTGAGAATGGGATAAGCCTGAGTCAGAATGGTGGATTAGGCTCTCAAGGGCCGTTTGATTTATAGTTGAAATCGAATGGTCTATTCCCAGTCTGTTTGGTTTATAAAGAAATTGGAATGAGAATTGACCTTTTCTTGCCACATTACGTCACAAAGAAAACCAGTTTTATTTTGCTCAAACATGTTTGTGGGCCTTATGGCGAAGAAGAAACTTTTCTGTTTTTTCTTCTTAAATTTCTAGTTTCAAGCAATTCTTTATTTCTTCCTGGCCGGCTCGGGCTGACTGGCTTCTTACGTTACTTCTATCGCTGCAATTGGGTGGCCTCAGGTTGGGAAAGGGGTGTCAATTGGACTGGATTTGGTCCAATCCGGTCCAGTCCAATGTGAGTCTATTACAAATGGATCTGGTCCAATCCAGTCCAATGTGAGTCTATTACAAATGAATCTGGTTCAATCCAGTCCAATGAATATTTTGGACCGGTCCAGAGACTGTCCAATCTGTTCAAATTCTTGTTAATTTAGATTGGTTTCAACTCAAACCTGGTCCATTGACCACTATGTTCTTATCTTCTATCAATGGACCAGATGTTGGCCCAATCCAATATAAATTCATTATGGATGGACCAGTTCTAATCCAATATGTCATATTGGTCCATTCAATCCGTCCAAATTCAATGTCTTATTGGCCCGTCCAATCCATTCAAATGGATTTTGATTTGGACGATCCAACCCAAAACTGGTCCATTGACACTCCTAGTTGGGATTTTGCTAAAATTTGAATAGGTCTTATCAACAAGCCGAGCCCTATGCAATGTAAATTCTGCAAGTTGGATACCTGATTTGCACCCTTAGTTACCTCTTTCCCTTTTTTCTTTGTGCATTTAGTCCTAAACCACTGGTTTGCGAACCAATGCCTCACGAAAAAAAACAGATAGCAGCATGTCTGAAATTCATGGGGTTAGCAGTGAATGGGCTGGTTTTGGGATGGACCCCATTCAAATCAAAAATCAATTTGGATGGATTTGACGGACCAATAAGACATACTGAATTGGACTAATCCAAACTTAATGGTCCAAAGTATTTCTTGGATTGGATTGATCCTGGTCCATCCGTAATGGATTTATATTGGATTAGATCAGATTGAACCAATATCTGATCCATTGATTGAAGATAAGAAAAGAAGTATCAATGGACCAAATTTGAATTGGAACCATTCTAAGTTAAAATCAATTTGAATAAATTAGACGGTTGGGACATTAAATTAAACTACTCCAAAATGATTCAAAGTATTCATCAGGTTTAATTAAACCTAATTCATTTGCAATTCATATTGGGCTGAATCGGAGTGGACCAAATCCGGTCCAATTGACAACCCTACATGGGGGTATGAATGGTTTTGTCAAATATCACATTTCTATCTTCGATCTTCTGTATAGTCCTCTGCTTGGTTGCACATTAAATGAAGGGTTAAAACTCCTCTTCGCTTTTATTACTCAACATTTTCCTTACCCTGACCTTTATATACAATTATACCTCGAGAGAACCCATATCAAACACTTTTTATATTTATAAAATATATACATATCTTTCGTCAGGTCAATATGAGTCCCCGTTATGTTCCAATTTTATTTATTTTTTAATGACAAAACTAATCTTGACTGACTGGTCTACTCTTCTAATAGATTTTCATATGAAAAGATTTATCTTTCTTACAAAAGTACTTTCTTGAAGTACTTCGTAAAAAAACACTTAGAAAAGTATTTCTATAGACTTTTGTAAAAGTATTTTTGTAGAAGTGCGTTTGTAAAAGTACTTTCGTAAAAGTGCTTTTATAAAAGTATTTCCATAAAAGTGCTTTTATAAAAGTACTTTTGTATAAATGTTTTTATAAAAGTGTTTTCAGAAAAGTACTTTTGCAAAAGTACTTTCGTAAAAGTTCTTCCATAAAAGTGCTTTCGTAAAAGTGCTTTTATAAAAGTATTTCTATAAAAAGTACTTTTCTAAAAGTACTTCCGTAAAAGTTTTTTTTTTGTAAAAGTGGTTTCGTGTAAAAGTACTTTTACAAAGTGCTTTCATGTAAAAGTACTTTTACAAAAGTGCTTTCGTAAAAGTACTTTTGTAAAAGTGCTTTTATAAAACTACTTGTACAAAAATGCTTTTATAAAAGTAATTTTGTAAAAGTATTTTTATAAAAATACTTTTGTAAAAATACTTTTCATAAAATTACTTTTATAAAAGCGTTTTCGTAAAAGTGCTTTTGTAAAAGTACTTTCATAGAAGTGATTTTATGCTAGCTTCAATTTTGACTGATTGCAAATTGGACAAATGTTTGGCATCATGATCAGATTATTGGAAATTTGGTTTTGGTCCAATTCAAACCAATAAGAATATGGACCAATTTATTTTGGATCGAGTCAATCCAATAATTATAATGGACCGCCGAAATCCAATTTGATAAGGTTTGGATTGGATTGGATCCAAACCAAAACCACAATTGACACCCCTACACATCGCACATCTCATACATGGCARGTCCCAGTCTCATGGTGAGATGTGTGGTGTTAAATCAATTTGGTAGAGGGTTAAAAATAAACCTGTTCATGGACTGGGCATCTTGGCCCGACTCAGGCCATTTCATTCAATATCCTTCAAACCTTCCAAATCACAGCCAGCACTAGCAGCAGTGAGCACCTGAGCGGTATCATCTTTCATCTCCTTCCACAAACGGTGAATCAGCAGGCGATATCATCTCTCACAAGGCGGTACCCCATTTCCCATTCTCTAATTTTTAAATATACATTAGCACATTTCAGATTAGAGGCGGTGTCCCCATTCCCTAACAATGGTCGGTGGCATCTACAACAGAAGTCGGACAAGCGACAACCAGTGACAGAAAACCCCATCAGGTCTCTCTCTCTCTATCTCCTCCACTCCTCCACTCCTCTAGTTCGCCGACCCTTCTGAAATCATTTTAGTTTAGGCATTAGCTCGGGCTTGGGCTCGGGCTTCAGGCTTTTATGAGGGTTGGCTCAGGCTCGAAATCTAGGCCCGGGCCAAATTTCTCCTCTATAGAAATAGAGTCAAGTATCCACTTTATATGGTATTAGCTAGGGATTTTTAGACTACACTCCACCACAAAATTCTGATTTAAACTGCAGACCTACAACAATTCAAAATTATAAATACCTCCACCTATAACACCTATACCCACCCGTGAATTGGCACCTACCCCCAACTGTATGGTGGAGATAGGATTTCTGGGGTGGACTGAACAGTAAAAACCCCTAAAAACTATAATGCTCGACGGGTCCCATTTACTGGTTAACCAAGCTGTTTGCCCATTTCAACCTGTAAAAAAAATTGCTAGAACTATCATTTACCACCTATTCCTTGGTTTTTATGGTCCGACCGTCCGGTTGGGGCTTGAGTCTTAAAACACTGAGAAAAAACGCCTTTCTTCTTATTTTCCATTTAAAGAAACTTTGTATATTTCTCAACCATTTGCAAATATAACTCATTTTGGTATTTAACATATCATTATCTTTTCAAGGAAAACACTAGTTGAAAAGTAAAAGCAATGGATTAATGGCCACCATTTATGAGTTGGAAAATTGTTTTTTCAGATGGAATCATGATTCATGGAACAGGGCTAGACCTGGCAATTGGATTGAGTTGTCAATTGTTAGATCCTAATCCTAAATGTTCGGGTTAGGGTTGATTTATGGGTCAATTTGGGTTATTCTTAAAAATAAATATAATTTAAAAATATAAAAAAATACATGAAAAATGTCAAAATTAAAGAAATTAACGTTAAAATTTCAAATAGAAAATAGAAAGCTTGAACATTTAATAAAGAATAAATGATAAAGAGTCAAGACTAAATAGAAAAGATTAAAAAGTAAAAACTTCTAACAATACAACTCAGTTTTTTTTTTCCTTTTCTCGAGTTAGATCGGATCAGATCATTTTTAAATTCAAGAAGCTAAATATAAAACCTTAATCCTGTTTTTTCGAGTTGAGTTGGATCGGGTTCGCGGGTTACTCAACTTTTTGCCATGTTTAGGTCTAAAAAGGGCTCAGAGGAAAAGGATGGATCACACAAAAGTCTTGTTGGATTGGACCGTTGACACCAACCAAAGGTCCAAAATCATGGCCCACTTCCAAAGATATCAGCTAGATTTATTCGAATCGACCGATCTCTTTGATTCAACGGTGGGTCCATCTTTCGCGGCCTTATCCAGGAGGGAACGTTAACGTAATCATATCCAAGACGAGGCCCCACAGATTGGTTGGTGAGACTTGGAATAGCGTACAATAATTGGTGCTCGGGTCCATCAAACTTTATGCTGCCTCAACGAAATGGGCCTCCACACACATACTCTGGATTCCATATCTTGGGCGGGCCAAGCTGGAATTCAATTGCCCAGGCCCATCACGAGCATTGTTTCTTAATCTGCAATCGTGACTGTGCAGGCCGGGGCCAACGTGGACACCCCGGACCAACCGAGTCAACTCAATTGAACTTGTCTTGCCTCAGACAGTTTACAGAAGAAAAATATCTTAACGTGGCGTCACTGGATTCAGAAAAGCATCGTGGATCGATGGTGGGACCCCCAACCTACCAGATCTTGTCCATTTGTAATTAGACACGTGTTGTGTAAAAGATAGACGGTGACCAACTGCTCTAACAGGCAATGTAGTATAATTATGGGATGGAAATGGAATACACTGAAGAATCGATGGCCGGAGGCAGGGGGTTGGTGGGACCTACGAGAACCCTCCACCGACGAACTTTCAGAGGTTCTCCTCTTTAAAACTCGATTATTTCCCGATTTCTTTTTTCTTCTCTTTCACCTTGTACGTTTTCTCCTTCTCTTTTTTAATTTTCTAAGATTTTTTCTTTTCTTTGCAATTTCCATTTGAGGAAGAGAGGTGTAGATGTAAAATTCTAGAAGTTTTCTCAGAGGCTTCGACACCTTGTGCATCTCTCTCTCTCTCTCGTGCGCTTGCTCTCGGTGAGTACATTTATTTAATTTTGGGTGGGATCTCGAGCTCTCGTTTTCGACGGATCTAGGGTTTCTTCGTTTCTCTTTTTTCTCAAAGGTGCTCCGTTTCTTACCATGTAGATGTAGCTTTTGGGGGGATTGTCTGGGTTCTGTTTCAGTATTTCACAGTCGTTGATACACGTTAGGGTTGGAGTTTCCATCGGTTGTAGTTTGACATTTTTTCTTGCATTTTTCGGTCCTTTTTTTTTTTTCGTTTCTGCCGGCCCGGTGATCGTTTGGTTATTGTTTGAAAGAGCTGCATTTTGAGGTGCACGACTTTGTCAAGCTTCCTTTTTCCTCTGGTTTTTTATTGGTGTGTCTGATACTGCATTTCGAGCTAGAGTTCGCATATTTCTCGGATTTGTAGGTGGAGCAGCAAGTCAAGGCTTCTTTTTGTTTTTTAACGATGGGTTATTTGACTTTTTTGCTCTTTTTCTATAAATGCAGATATTTCTTTCCAAACGCTTGGATTAGAAGAAAGTAGACTGGATTTGGTTAAAAATCAGTTGTATTGGTTCTTTCTGTGTCCCAAGGCTTAAAGTCGAAGCTGCTCTCTTTTGTACAGGAGGAGAAGAAACGGATTGCAATTTTTTTTTTGGTCCAGTAATTTGCTTGTAGATAATCTTCCATTTCAGTGTTTAAGGGAAGCTTGGTGATCAAACTATAGAGGTTTTCTCTGGCTTTGCTTAGGGATGGAATTTGAGGAGATTTTTAGTTTATGAAGATCGAGAACCCCTGGGATCATACATCTATCAAAGCGCAACTGCTGAGTAATTAGGAATCGCGTTAATGGGTTGACTGGAGACATCTGGGTTTTAGCATTTTTGTGCTGGGTTGCTTGTATTCATGATTCAGAGAGTGGGAGAAGAGCAAGAATAGAATAGATTGGGTCCATGTGATGGATAATATGACCTTCAGAGATAAAGACCTTGCTGTTGATCTAGAAAGTGGTGGTACTACCAGCGAGGAAGAAGGAAGTAAAGAACCTGTTTCAAGCACCGGACAAACAAAGAATTTGTTGGGTAAGGTTTGGAATGGGTTTGTCAATTTTGATGGTTCGGTTAAAGGTGAAGATGGCATTAGTTCGTGGCAAGCATCAAATTCTGGGGAGTTTTCTATTGATAATCTGGAGTTGGTGACAGACAAGAAGTCCGGAGGAGAAGAAGCTGTTGAACTTTTAGAGAAGAAAGTGATGAAGGAAAAACGCAAAAAAACAAGCTCTAAAAAGCCTCCTAAGCCACCACGACCACCCAGAGGTCCATCTTTGGATGCTGCTGATTTGAAATTGGTTAAAGAGATCTCTGAGCTTGCTATGTTGAAAAGGGCGAGAGTTGAACGGATGAAGGCTTTGAAGAGGATGAAAGCAGCTAAAGCTTCATCATCAAATAGCAATTTGTATGCCATGATTATTACTATTCTCTTCTGCCTTGTAATTCTTTTTCAAGGTAATATCTCCTTTAGAATTTGGGTGGATTCTTTATGTCTTCAGTTTTTCTTCTTTTGTTGATTTAGCTAGGGATTGAGTTATGACCTGTTACTGTAATTTAGCATGTCAATAATTTGGCTTTGTTTCATTTCTTTTTCTATTTCTTGGTAGTTAATGCAAATATAGTAGTTAACCTGTACGAAATGTTCACACTTAAATTATTAATTTCCTTAATTGTTCAAAGTCAATTTATTATTAACGCATTTTATTTTAACAGTTTAATTAACCATTGCTGCTGCTAGAATGGTGTCACTGTTGCTACATTTCAACCGGTGTACATGTTCATCAGTATTGTTATGTTGACTTGAACTCTCTGACTATGTTATAATGAACAAGTTTCACCTGCCAGATGGTTATTCTTTGTCTATATTGGGTCCTAGCGCATAAATTCCTAGGTAAATGTTTATAATGAACAGTTTAATTAACCATTATTGCTGCTAAGATGGTGTCACTGTTGCTACATTTCAACTGGTGTACATGTTCATGAGCATTTGTATGTTGACTTGAACTCTCTGACCATGTTATAATGAACAAGTTTCACCTACCAGATGGTTATTCTTTGTCTATATTGGGTCCTAGCCCATAAATTCCTAGGTAAACGTTTATAATGAACAGTTTAATTAACCATTATTGCTGCTAGAATGATGCCACTGTTGCTACATTTCAACTGGTGTACATGTTCATGAGTATTTGTATGTTGACTTGAACTCTTTGACCATGTTATAATGAACAAGTTTCACCTACCAGATGGTTATTCTTTGTCTATATTGGGTTCTAGCCCATAAATTCCTAGGTAAATGTTTCTAATGAACAGTTTAGTTAACCATTGCTGCTGCTAGAAAGGTGTCACTGTTGCTACATTTCAACTGGTGTACATTTTTGTGAGTACTTTTATGTTGACTTGAACTCTCTGATCATGTTATAATGAACAAGTTTCACCTACTAATTCTTTGTCTATATTGGGTCCTAGCCCATAAATTCCTAGGTAAATGTTTCTAATGAACAGTTTAATTAAACATTGCTGCTGCTAGAATGGCATCACTATTGCTACATTTCAACTGGTGTACATGTTTGTGAGTACTTTTATGTTGACTTGAACTCTCTGACCATGTTATAATGAACAAGTTTCACCTACTAATGGTTATTATTTGTCTATATTGGGTCCTAGCCCATAAATTCCTAGTAACTGTTTATTTTTTGTGGATACTATGTAAACCCATGTGGGGATCGAAGCCCAAATTTGCAGTTAAGAACTTGTGGTATTATCATTTTTATACAACATTCATCATCATTACAGATACTTGGATGCTATCAGTTTCCTTTATGGGATGCTTGATTCACTGGAAGCAAGAAATTCATGTTTTCTGTGTCAGAAGATCGACTATTAATAGGTACTTGGGTAGATTATTAACTCAGTTTTGTATCTAAAGAAGCTTTTATCATAATTTGAACATTCTATCTTCCAACATTTTTAATGGGAGTGCTTTTGTGTTGGTAAGAGTTGGTGTCATTCATTACACACTTACACAGTTGCTCTTTGAGTGGAATTTTGAGACTTGACTGCTGTGAAATGAAACTCAACTTGGTATCCCTTGTTCCTGGAACTTGGTTTGATACTTTGTGATCCAAATATGTGTTTGAGCTCTGTACTCAGATACAATCTTTTATTGCCATTTGACTATATAATTAATAACTGGTAAGTTGTCAAAATTTGTGTGCTAGTACGATGAGTACACACAATTTAAAATATTATAATGTCTACATTTATTCGGCTTTCAGGTTTCCTGGGTTCTCGTGTGTGAAGTCAATAGTCATTTTCATGCCCAAATAGCATTTAATAGACCCTTGCACAGCTTCTTCTTCTCCCAATATACTGTCATGGTTATTTGTTTAACTAAGGTAGCTGTGTTGAGCGTTGACTATGATTTCTTGATTCTAAAATTGTTTGGGGATGTTGAATTTTAAAAAGGTTCAAAGTAGGAGGAAAGGTAGCAATGCCATGATTAAGATACTTCAATGTGAATTAACATGCACAAATATTGGTGCTATATAATGGATGGCCATTTCTAGAATACAATTATTCTGTTGCTAATTGGATGTTATATGATTAACACTTTTTTAACTTTTATTTGTCAACATGTGCAAGTATTAATTGTATAGGATATTGTTTTGTTGAGATCTAACTTGAACCTTAATACACATGGTGAATTTTTCAAATCCCATAATTTATGTTGTGTTGATTTGCAACTTACTTATCTATAAGGAGTCTTTTTTCTTTTATCAATATTTCTTTTGGTCAGTAAATCATTCTTTGATGTTGCATTGAAGTTGCTGGTTGGATGTAAGAGGGGTACATTCTCCAATGTGCAATTGCTCACCATCTTCTGAATTATTTTTCCCTCGTGTTGATCAGAAACTTGATTTCAGGATTTTAAATTTATTTCCTGTGTTCCATAGTCTTTCATTTGGTACTTTGTGCTAAATCAAACCGATGCTTTATTTCAAGAGACCAAGGCCTGGAGAGATATATATTTCTAGAATTGGCAGTATTACAGTCTTATTTACAGGGAAATCTCAGCTTGTCTTTCTGTTGTAGGAAATGTCTTGCATTTATGTCACGGTTGGCACCAATGAACATGTTATTATATTTTTGGTAAAAAGGGGGCATTGGCCCATTGCTTGTTGCTATTGGTAAAAATCCTGGCCCGGCAAGCTATCAGGTTTGGTTCTGAGAGTGGTCCCTTTCGAAAAATGCCAGAGGTTAGGGCTGCACCTGTCCACCGGTCCACCCCACCCAAGACCTCCCTGGATGATGGGGGCTGGCATTGAGTGATAAAACTTTTATATAGTTGCCAATAACGAAAATTTAACTGTTATTTCCTGTCATTGTCTTGAATGCACCAAGTGAAACATGATTAGCTGAGATTTGCAACCACTCTAGAGCATGATCTATCTCCTTATGCTTAGAGCTGAAACTTGGTCTTTCCCCATGCATCTAGAGATGTTTCAATTCAAGTGTCACAATAGGCTTTAACAAGTCATCAGGATCATGTTTATTGGATTAGTTTGAACCACAAATATAATTCATTTTCAGTTAATCAATGATGTTTGCTTCATAGGGATATGTTCTAGGAGTAGTTCAAGTGTGAGCTTCAACGGATCTCCTGAATCATCTGTAGGATTGATTTCAGTTCAGTATTACAAGAATATTTCGGCAAGCGGTGCTAACGGATCTGTTTCTGCGTCGCCTATGTACGTTACACTTTTCTTTTGTGGCTTCTCTTTTCACTGATAATATGTTAACGGGGTGGTTGACTTCTGTTTTTTGTTCAATTTAAGCATTGATGACGAGATTATCTGGTGACATTGCCATAAGATATGGTTCTCATATTTTGTACTCCTTTTAAAATCTTGTTGCAGTCTAGTAGAACAGGTATCTGGGTTGAGCTCCGAGGAAGGAGTGAGCAGGGTTGCGGGGTGAAACGGTTTGTCATATTAAATGCCCTCCCTTCACATGAGCAGATGTCTGAGAGGACTGAGGTGGGTTTGGCCAGTTTCGGGATCCTTATAGATCGATGTCTCTTGATAGACTGCTCATTTTGGTGATTTCGGTCTGTAAATACGTGTTGAGAAAGTCGTCTTCTCATTTTTTGCACGCAAAACCTTTTACTAAATAAGCTGTCAAAAGTCTAAACAAAATGTTAAGCCCTTGCCCTAATTTTCAGTATTTCGTATTCCAGTGACCTTGAAAACCGATATGTATGATGCATCTATCATACGATATGTATTGCTTCAAAGTATCAATACTTGTCGTATCATAAGATATCTCATATGTATTGGTTTCTTATGTTGCGAAACTCTGAATTAGGGACAGGTGGCAATTTTATATAACAATAATAGGTCAATATTATAGGGAGCTTAAATTGCTTAATGGGCAATCACGAAGGTTGTGTTAAATATTGGTTGACACCAAAGGCTTTGATTCATCGATGCAATATTTGATACCATTGATGTTGCTTCATGAAATTTCAAATTTAGTGTTTTTATTATAAATGTCATCATCTAATCAAATACGTATTTTCTGTGGAATTGGTTATCTGTACGTTCCTGACATGGGGTCAACATAATGTTTCTCAAGACAACCCCTTAAAGATTGATATACATCAGCCTTTGTGAAATTTTGAACCTTGCAAGAAACAGGTAAAAAACATACCTTGTTCTCGTTGATATGTCAAATAAATGCATTCATGATTATTTTTTGTCCGTTTTCCTCGATGGAATTCTTTTAATGTACATGTACTTGTGAAAGTTTGAGAGGATACATGCAACTTTTGGTAATTTTGACACCCCTATGGTACAATAGGGTTTTTGGATTTTACACCACAATGAATTATGGATGCTTTTAACTCGGTATGAGCATATTGACACGTGGAAATTGGAACCATTAAGTCTCGGCCTAGTCTACCACTTAAGTCTCGAGCCAGTCTGGTTTAACATGGATTTTATACTTCGATATATGCTTTTTTTCAACTTTCATGTATATCCAAAACAACAAATGCCCCTGCATCTCTTCAAATTTCCTTCTTAATACACCTGGGATTTCCAATACACTGAATATGGCAATATGAACCACCACACCGTAATGAAGAACAAAAAACCATGCGGGGGGTAACATAAGGTTCTAGACCAAGATTTAAAACATTAATACAGGCTGATACGCCAATAGGCACGTATCAGCCTGTATCAAAGCTCGTTACACTATTTTTTTCGAAACTGGTTCAAAGGGGTCAATTTAAAGCTGATCTATCCCAGTATCCCCTGAACCAAGCCAATATGGGGTGTATCGTACCAATATTTTCAACCTTGTTCCAGACAATGTAAACGGAGAAAAACAGACGAGTTCCGTCTTATCCTATTTCCCGATCAATCATCACGATGCTCTAATATTAATCATGAATAGAACCATCCTTTTGGCTTGGCCTTGTTCCCACGGGCCACGGGTTACGAAAGAAGGATGAGCACCTACTTTTAAAAAACCTTTTTAAAAAGATGGGCTAATAACATTAGTATTGTTAGAAAAGTTGACGGTATTGCCTTTTAAAAAACGGGCTACAAGTTGTCTGTTGTCAAATTAGAGCATATAATTCCATGCCGCCTCACCTTGTATCATGAAAACTGAAACCTCGGCAATGTAATATTATAATATGGAACAGGAACAGAGCGAGCGCTATACCACCATTATACCAAAGGCCCATCCACTATGAACTTGCTCTTGTTTCTAATTCTCAACCTAAATTTATGTGATTAATAAATAAATAAATAAATAATCACTGATCAAGACAATGTTTGAAATTCAATGGGACATGAAAAGTAGGGAGATCAAAGATGAGTTACGATCAACAACCTCTTTTTCTGCAGATGCCCTAATGCGAAACCATAACGATTCTGTCATCCTCTGTCGAACCACATAAGCAATGCCAAGGTTCTCCATGGTTTGGTTGCTCAAGAAGATTTCACAGGTTCTGCTCGAGGCCTCCAGAGTCCCAACCTATACTTGTGGGTGTATTTCAAGATCAACTTCCTCTGCATCACCAAGATTCTAGTTATTCTCATGACCTTTAAGTTATCAAAAGGAGCTATCATTGCTATTACAATCATGCAATCCAGTGTCAATGATTTTGAGGTTGACTGCAATCAGTAGTTTGGCTTTAGGTTTAACTTTCACATAATTTCAAAGAAAAGGGCAAGAAGATCTGACTACTGGTATTTATAACAACAACAAAAAAAAGAAAAGAAAAAGTAAACATGAATGCAAATATCTAGTTTAGATAGCAAGACTTGCACCATCTTCAGGAGTGAAAGCCGACATAAGAAATTTAGAAGAGAACACACCCACTTAGCCACTCATTATAACAAGAACAGAATGTACCAAAGGTAACATGAGAAATTCTACGAGGGGCATGCCTGTGGTTTGCCCATGGTGATCTAAAAGCACATGCACTTCACCAAGCAAGGGTCATTGCTTGGTGCAATGAAAAAAAATCTTGGGCTGACAAGACCAACATTCTGAGGGCAGCCACTTGGTGCCAAAAATAAAATAAATAAAAGGCCAAAAGTTGGATTCATATCCAGTCTACCCTGACCAAGACCCCAGATAGAGCCAAAATAAGCAAATGAGGTTTCTGATTTGTGTGGCCAAAATAACATGGGGTTGAACATGTATGCCATAGACCAAGACAAATTACTTTCTACCTACCATAAGTTTGGGGTGTAGAAGGCCAGGACTCAGAGAATTGGCAGATTTTGCCAACCAAGAAAGTTTGGATAAGAAGAAAAGTTTCATAATATCCACCCAGTGTTACTTTGTACAATAGCACAAGTGCCAAGTGTTTAGGTGACCACGTGTCTGGCACATCCACCTCTAGAACTGACAATGCGTGGATATAGCCATAAATAAATAATAAACTACATAAATAATGTAAAAAGGGAGAAAGCAGAGAAATGACTAATTGTTTTGGCCTCGCCAATGCTTTAAAATAAATGAAATGGAAATGCAACTGCTTTTCTCTCCAGGTGGTGGGTTAGGAGTTCAATTATCTTGGTCAAACATGTCAACCCCATGATGTCATAAATCAAATAATAAAACTATAAATAAAGATAAATGCAGAAAAACAAATAAATTTTACAGGGAAAATTAGGCATGTCTCTAATATTATATGTTCATCATATTAAACAAAAACAAGTATAAAAATGAGAATTATAGTTAAACAGCAAAAAATAAAAAAAAAAGCAGAAAAAGATGTCAGAAGAATTAATGTCTAAACTGTGACTCACTGACAAGGTCAAATTGTTCTTGGTTCAGTGGTTAAATCAGTCTGTTGACTGAGTAAACATATTATTGCAAGTAAATGGTTCAGGGGCTAACTGGGTCAACCAGTTCAACTGACCAGCTCAACCATGGGTTGAAAACATTGGGCCTCCCTAGTGTTTACATGGATGTGGATGCAAGAATTGGAATCTGTTGCATATTCAGAAGTTTGACTTGGTAAGAAGAAAAAACAACTGACTTGTGGACATGTTCATAGAAAGTAAAAACTATTAAAATAGTCCCTGGTTGTGCAATGACTAGTCAGCACCTAGACACTGACTAGTCAATCACAAAATGATACCCTAATAAGAGATATTGATTCAATCTCATATATAAGTTAATAAAAATTGAATGAAAGTTACCTTTTTCTTCAAAAAAAAATACTGAAAATGTGTGATAAAATACGATATAGAACATTTAGTTTGCAATATTTGATTAGAAAATATAGAAAAAGGAATATTGGATAGGTTAGCAAGGGAGTTATGTCTTTCATAGAAATAATGCAACCTTTACCTTTTGGCCGCCCTCTGTCTATAGCAACATTTTACCAGCATACCACTGATTAGAAGAAAACTTAAAAGAACTTGACCATCATTTTCTTTTATTATATGTCTTATTTCTATTTATATACATTTAACCAATCGTGTACAATCACAAATGCTTAATGCAGACAATATGAACGCATGAGACAATAGCATATATAATACTATTTTAAATAATAATTTATATAAAAATAACTTCATGTTTGACTAGAACAAATCAGAGAGCTAGTCAATCTAGTCAATGCTTACTTGTCCCAGGCAACTGCATCATGAGTATCAACTGATAAGTTAATGGAGTGGTCAGTATGGCCCTCAATTGACTAGTACATTGACTAGTGAATGACCAGATCAGGCAACACTTTGATAACACTGCAACGAAGTTAAAGCAAACTCGGAATATCAAAGTGCTTGCACCTTATAGGGTGTCTTCCTTCTCATGAAATCTTCCAATGCCTTTGCTCATCTTAAAAGTGGAGCACCATTAGAATGTTATAAGAAGAGTTGTGGCAGCTGCCAAGTGTTGACAAGGCTGGACCAAATAGTCTTTAGGTGTCCTGGTAACACTGCTTTCTACCACACTATCCTCAGTCATGGTTGCCAAGTTTATGCTAGGGGTAGGGCCTATTCTCCAAAACAGAATGGTCTGGGAAAGGCAGGATTTTGCATCACAGACTCAAGTAGTAGTAGTATTATGACTTGATTATACCACAAAGGATCCTATCCAGTGATCAGATCACATTTGGAGCAGTTAGAATTAGGATTGTTAAAGGTTTCCACCCCTAAAAAGAAATCAATAAACAAAATAAATTTTAAGTCATGGATAAATAAACCCACATAAAGACTACAGTCCAAAGTTTTGATGCACCAGAGATTCAGAATGGCATTCCAACCACCAAGCTGACTTCTGGCCCAGACGTCTGTTACAAGCCTACACTACACAATCTAGTTAGTGAGTCTCAAAATACCATGACCATGCTCCAACACCTGGGATATTTGCAACAAACTTCCTCCAGACCCGGACTCCCACTACCCTATAAGATAATTAACAAGGAACAAGGTCACAATTACATATTTGCAACCCCTTCTGGTGGTAAAAATGACTAGTTTTTCAATAAGTTGAATCATGTCAAAGCCTCTACATTTGCATACAAAGTGGTAGTTTACCAGCTTTCCAACACCAAGATTTTGATGCAAAAAATGAGCAGTGGACATGCATGATCCATTAAACAAGATTATCCCCAGCACTAATCTAACAAGCTCTAAGTACTAGCAAATAAGAAAGAGCTCAGAAGGCCGTGAAACATAAACTGGGGAGTTAACAATAGAGAGAATGTGGGTAGTCAACATGAAACTCTTATTAAAGAAGAGTGTCCTGATCACAAATATATAAAGATGTTGATAACATGCTTGAAGAAATATGTGGATGCAAACAAACAGCTTAGGCGCCTGGTCCCTTAGACAACCTGTAAGGGAGATTATGCAACTAACAAGGGAGCTTGAAGTCAGGTTTAAATGGAGCAGTAGATCAGCCAATGCAATGGTTGATATTTTAGCAAAGCGAGGAGTTAGTAGGCAGAACCTTTTTTGGGCCTGTTTGTAATCTGTGGAGGGGTCACCTTGTTTTTTGAAGGCGACAGTTGTACTAAGTTTCTTAAAGAATTAATGAAAGTTACTGTTTCCAATAAAAAAAAACATGCTTGAAGAAATATGCATCTTAAGGGATGATACCATGACCTCTCATATGTATACTGTTAATCCATGTAGCATATAACATGGTATTATATCCATTATAGAAGGTGCTCATTGATCAATCGAGCTGTCAAAAACTCAAAATAGAACAGACTGATCCATTCAACTTGCCATTTGGCCAGCTCAGTGTCTCTTCTAGTTTTTCACAACATCAAGAACAATTTGTTAGCTGTGAAATATAAATTTATTGTACCCAAGTGTTACATCTACTGGAGCACCGAGAGTTTGTAGATTATTTCAGCAATAGGTTTAGGAATGGAAATGGGGTGGGGCCCCATCTCTGTCCCTACGAAAACCCCTATCCCCATCCCTGTCCCACTGGCGGGACAAGGTTATCCCATCCCCATCTCCACGGGAATCCCCACTCCCCGTGATTATTTATGATATCAATCATTTTGTTTTTGTTTTCTATTTAATTTGAAAAATTAAAAAAGAAAGTAGTTAAAACTTACAATCCAATTAAACAAGATTCAAACATATTCAACCATATATAAGTGGAGATCCCCACGGGGCAGGGATCGGGGGCAAAGGGGATGAAATTTCCCCATCCCTGCCCCATTCCCGGGGGCTAGGGGTCCCACGGAATCGGAGAAATGGAGAAAATTGCCATCCCCAAATGGGTTTTACTTGCAAACAGATCTCTGGATACAAGCATACGGAGAACCTAATAGTGGCAACAATCTTACCAATTCTATTCCACGAGCGACAGAAAAATCCGTGGGTGTTTAAAAAGCCAATGTTGTAGGGTACACTCAGATACAAGGGAACAAAAACCCTCTACAAGTGGTACAATACTACCACGCCATTAGTTTCGCTCCAAAGGGACGAATCCCTAGAAGGATTTTGTTCATTCAAAGCCTGAGGCTGTTTTCTGTAATGAGATAGAATGGTGGACACTGGATCATATGCTCTTTTCATATGACCTCTCCCAGTGACAGTTTTATCAACTACCACCAGGAAAATTACAAATTCTTTCTCCTTTAGGATCAGTAGAAACTAAAATCAATAACTATTTTTCATGAGATATCATCCTTAACCCTATCAAATAATAAGTAAGCAAGGAAACCTGATTACGGAAGTAGGATGGAAATGGAGACTTGTTCTTACGTGCTTGCACGGGATGCCTAGTTTCTTGAGCTTGAGAGTGCGGGTGACGAGCAGCTTCTGAAAGTTACCGATCTCCGCTTCAAGCTTCGGTACGTGGGTTTCTACTCCTCTCCCTACCCCGTTCAGGAACTCTGGAATCCCAACCTTAACTAGAACCAAAAAACTAAAGACCATGAGATAGAGGCCTAAAACCCTAACCAGAAGCAGACAAAGAAAACACTAAACCCTAAAACTTACTTACCTAAGTATTGGTTGGATTTAGAGAAGAATCTTGGGAATCCAGGAACTAACCGTGGCACTGAGAACGTGTTTCTGTTCGATAGAATATGCTTCAAAACCATGGCCATGGCCATCGAGGCGAGCTCTAAGCGCACTCCCTTTTTTTACCTGGTTGTAGTCGTTTACACTTCCCGATTTCGAACTCGGAGCGTCTGATTTGGAGAGGGATGAAGAGTAAGGCCAAGACAGTAGACCGTAGACAGTCAGAATTTGGGCAGTTTCGTAATTTTACTCCTCATCATAAGAGTTGCACTTAAATATAAATTTCTGAAAGTTTAGGTATTAAAATGACGCATTTGAAAGTTCAGGCCCCAAGTAAAATTAACCCAAAGAACAAGGTACCTATCCGAAATTTAAGTTAAAACTTTGAAACTAGCGTCGTGATCAGACGGCCTTGATCAAGTCATTTTCTTAGAAGAAGTAGACTGATCAGACGGTCACAATCCAATCAAAGCCGTTCTATGGAACTAAACTAACAGAGTAACAGATTCAACTGTCAAGTTGTGTCAACTCAAAACCGAGAACGAGAAGACAACCAGAGCAGAGCAGCGTTTAGTCCAAAGCCCAAAATATGCAAGAAGCCAAGCAGCTTCACGCTCACATAATAATCGCCGGATTGCAACAGCAAGAGCTTTACCTTAGAAAGCTTATAACCTTCTTCGCCATCTCTAATCCTTCCTCTCTCAGCTATGCTCGCCTTGTATTCTCTAACATTGAAACCCCATCAACTTTCGTCTACAACACCATGATCAGAGCTTATGCCACGAGCTCAGACCCATCTCAAGCCTTACACCTTTACAACCAAATGCGCAGACAAGGCACTCAGCCTGATAGATACACCTTCCCTTTCTTGCTCAAAGCTTGTTCCGTTCTTTCGGATCTCCATAAAGGCCAGGAGACCCACTGCCATGTGATCAAACAAGGATTCCTTTCCGATATTTTTGTCCGGAACTCGTTGATTCATCTCTACGGATCAAATTCAAAGATCAAGATTGCTCATCGAATTTTCGATGAAATGCCTCATCGTGATATCGCCACTTGGACTACTTTGGTTGCTTGTTGTGCTAATTTTGCCTCCATCGAATTAGCACGTAAGCTCTTTGATAGAATGCCTGAAAGAAGTAATGTTTCTTTTAGTGCCATGATCGCTGGCTACATTCGTCATGGATGGTTTAAGGAAGCATTGCAATTATTTCGCAGGATGCAAATAGAAGGACTGGTGCCAAACAATTCTACCCTCTCCAGTGTCCTCTGTGCCTGTGCAAATCTCGGGGCTTTGGATTTGGGTAGATGGATTCATTCCTTTATATGCGAGAGGGAAGGTAACAAATTTGATTGTCGAATTATTACTGCTCTTATAGATATGTATTTCAAGTGTGGGAGCATAAAAGACGCGCTCCAAGTCTTTGCTGGGGCCAAGAAGAAATTCGTAGGTGAATGGACGGCTATGATATCTGGGATGGCCATGCATGGATTTGGTCAGACATCAATCGAATTGTTTGAAGACATGGTCAGTTCAGGTATTAAACCAAATGCAGTCACATTTGTTGCACTTCTCTCTGGATGTACCCATGCCGGACTGGTGGATGAAGGTTTGAGGTATTTTCAGAGAATGACAGCTGAGTTTGGGATTGAGCCCACGATTGAACATTTTGGTTGTGTGGTTGATCTTCTTGGCCGTGCTGGACTGATTGGTCAAGCAATCCAATTTATAAGAGATATGCCAGTAGAGGCTAATGCTGCAATTTGGGGTGCTCTTCTGAATGCATGCAAGGTGCACAAGAATGTTGATGTTGGTGAATTAGCAGCAAGATGGTTAATAAATGAAGAACCATGGAATGGAGTCATTTATTTATCTTTGTTGAGCTTGTACAGGGAGGCAGAGAGATGGGATGATGTTGAGAACGTAAAGAGAGAGATGAAGGAGGTTGGTTGTAAAAAGAGCCCTGGTTGTAGCTTGATTGAGGTGAATGGTGATTGTCATGAGTTTGTGGCTGGGGACAAGTCACACCCTTGTGTGTTACAAGTGTGTTTGAACTTGAGTCAATTGGTCATGGAAGTGAAGGAACATAAGTATCTCCTTGGATGAACTGGCTTTCTGGAACTTTGCTCTCCTTTCTTTATAAGTGTCTCACATATATGTGGGACTTGGATCCACTGGTCCCTCTGGCTTTTCTAGAGTTAAGGTGCAGGTCTATGGAAATAGATCCAGTCATTCAGCATATCAGCCACCAGCACCCCTTACAGCTCTGCAATCAACACCAGATCCACCACTCCATTTCAACTTCAGAATGCAAGATCTTGTGCTGTGGGTCAATCTAAATACGCAGGCCCACAAACTACTTTTCTAAATATGCAGGCCCACAAACTCATGAGTCTGGATTCTTTGAATAGAGGCTAAAAGGAGTCAGAGACCTTCAGTTTAGCAATGAAATCCGACACCCAAGTTCCCGGTTGCTTTAGGGCCTTGGCATCTGAGAATCCACGTATTCATTACACAGATGGTCCCAGGGAAGTTTAATTAATTTCAGAAAACCCGGGGTAAGTTTCTATTTTCTAATATCTCTACTACATTGAATGTGAAGATGCAAATAAAACCACAACTTTGTATCTATCTATTTATGGAACTTGGAACCATATCTATGTATCCATTTAAGAAGACAAGTACTTGTAACTGTAGCTATTTTTTTCTTTTTCTCTAGTATAATTGTAGCCATATTTAACAAGGCGATGACCATGGTGAAATGGTCAAGTAAAATGCCAGGAAAAATCAATGGAAAAGTGGTATACAATTTTCTGTTTCTTGCTATTCTTTGTTTTTTTTCAAGTCTTTGCTCTTCCTTGATCTTATACATATTGCTTTTCACACAATTTGTTTACCAGCATTAACAATTCCATGGTTACCAGCCAGGATCGTATACTTGTCTTTCCTTGTAAGACTGGTGCATTCAAACCCTAGAGCCTCTGCGAGCTGTCTCTGGACTTGATTTGCCACTTCACAACTCGACTTTGCACTATCCCAGAACTTGGAACCTCTGGATAATTTGTCCAGAAAATTGACAGCACCACAAGGACAAGGATTTAGAAGGAAGAAAACTGGGTCTAGCCATTTAAATCCACTAGCTGTTGTTCCATAAAACATGTTAACATGAACATCCATGGCCACAGGAACAATTTCATCACTCATCTCTGCAAATAAAGGGCTGAATCTTAGCAAATAGGGCTCCCTACAAGTGGTCCCTTCTGGGCAAACAATAAGATCTCCTTGATTCAGTAGTTTCTCCATCATCACTGCATCTTGTTCTCTATTTCTTGTTAAACGGGCGGTTCTTATTGGTGAAATTATCTCTGTTGCTCTACTAAGGCTGTATGTGACTGCAGTGACAGGTCTGTTAAGAACAGTAGAAACAAAGAGTGGGTCAAGAACAGTTCTATGATTACATACATAGAGGATTCCCTTTGGTTTTTCTTTGTTTTGTACATTTTCTGGGTTTGATATGGCTATGAAGGATTTGAGCTTTGATGACCTGATTCTCATCCCACTGAAGGCCAAAATACAGTATGCCAACCTGTAAGGTAGCAAGAGGCCAACAATAGCTCTGAGAATGAAAAGGAAGAGACCCAGTGGGAGCCACAATAACATCACCACAGCAGATTCTGGAGTGGGCCTGAAAGCCAATCTGCCATCATGGAAGATCAATGGCTTGGGGTATTTATCCCTTGGTAAAGGATGCCAATTCCTCTTCTCTGTTTCGCTTACCAAATAGATATCCTGCCCCAACACAAGTATTTATTAGTCAAGATCCATCCAGTATGTACCCCAATAAGGAAAAGAGTCAAAAGACATATGACATGACATGTGTGTGTGTGTGTGAGAGAGAGAGAGAGAGAGCTGACTTGAAGGCATCAATGGCATACTTTGCAAACAGAAAACAACTGATGACCTTCATATTTGTGCAAGCTCCCAATGCCCACTACATGAGAGCCCAGTTTTCCCTCTGCAAATCTGCCACGCAGAATCAAACTATCATTCCTGTCATCCTCCATTAAACCTACATAATACCCGCAGACCACCTTCAACTCTCTCGCCACAACAAACTCAACATCCAAATAATCCCTAAGCACCCCTTCAACCATTACTTTGGGCAAACAACTCACGGCTACCCTTCTCCGACACCTCATCAAAATGTGAAAGCCTTCATACCCAATATCCTCCAGGAAAAACTTGGGCAAAACAGCTCTCCCAACTCTAAGGCTCTCCTTCTTAATCCCGAAAAAAGACAAAAATACCATAACCCTTAACCCCACGTCCTTACCAAGCAAACAAACAAAAGGGTACAAAAACAGTAAGAGAACGGCCCTTAATAACCCTCCAGCCTCGAAGGCCACAAGCATGAAGTAAGGAAACAAAGATGACGATCTCAGGAGGGCTCCCTCTACGTCAAAGATCAAGGTTTGGTTTGACAACTCTGTTGCATGGAGAAGAGAAGAGAACACAAGAGATTTCAACTGTGGAATGTTGGCATTGTTGCCCTTTCCGACAAGAGAGAGTGGATTCCTTCTTAATAGAATCCGAAGAGAAAAGACGAGGGTCTTAAAGGAGAATCCCTTGCAGGCCATTTTAGAAGAAAGACAATATATTTTAAATGCCCACTTCTGAGACCAAGCTTAGGGGCGCTTTTTATACAGGTTTGTGCCTTTAATGGGTGGTTGAAGTCTTAACTCTGATGAAGCACCCATATCTACAATTCTACATATTTAATTATTTCTGCCGCTTAATTTCATAGTCAAAATTTTATTACTCAAGATTTCGATATGACATGTCGTACTCGTATCGTATTGTATTATACGCCTATGTTTTGGGATCCTGTTTAATGAAAAATATAATTAAAAATAGGTCTAAAAACCGAATTTTGAAAAAAAAAACGTGCAATTTTAAATATCGATAGTCCGATATGCCCCTACCATACACGGGCATATTGATATTTTGAACCTTGGCATGAAATTAAGCCAAGTTTAATCATAATCCCCCCGAGCACCAGTGTAAAAGCCAAAAGCATTATAAATTAATGATCAAAATTTATGTTTTTTGAAATCGATTCAGTGCTCATAAGACCATGCTCACATCATTCTCATAGCATTGAGAATATATGGTGGTTTTTTTTTATGGGGTTAACTTAAATTATGCCTATCCAAAACCTAGAACTCAGAGACGGAGAGACCATGCATCTCATTGTGACTGTTGGTAGCTCTTCCTAGAAATATTTTAAACAATGCAATAAGATTCAGATAATAACAAGATCACTTGGATGGTTAAAGTTAAAACCAGCCAATTAACTATAATTCCATGTCTTGTGGATGATGAGCAAATGAATTAGATGGTAATCTTATTTTCCAATCACACTGATTTTATTTGTAAAGAGATACCTATTTGTCTGCCCAAAAAATAAAAGAAATCACGAGAAAGTAAAATTGCATTTATTTCTACGTTGGATCGATCGTCAATAGAGATTACAGAGGACACTGGGATAATGTGTTGTCGGTATAAGGTGTGGAGGAAGTTGATGAGGTGTTGTAATTAGTTACAGAGTGTGCATAGTTTTATTTATATGATCAACACGTGAGAAGATGGAGGTGGGTGGGCTTCTGCTGTCTTTACACTGAAAGAGAATAAATCAGCTACTCCATTTGGAATAGCACTGTGCTAAAGCTGTCAAGTCATGGCCTTTGATACATTGTTGTTGTGGCCCCACTTTACATCATTTCATCTAATTTAAAGTGGGGCCATATCAACACATCAAGGGACGTGATTACCGTGCTTACATCATTTTCACAGCCTTTTACGGCCGAGCATTGGGAATCATTTTTTTGTGTATGTTTTTTTCATGCGGAGATATTCTCAATGAAAGGCCGGAAGGGATTACGTGAATGGCAGTACGGTATTGTGAGGATTAAATTCGATTTCTTCTAAAAATGCTATTATGCACTGTATTCTTCATTTTATGCATAAAAAATATAATAAAAACTAAACCTGTTCATGGCCAGGTAGCCCGGCGAGCCGACTCGGGCTCAGGCTTTTTCAAATAAACTCAGTCCGGGCATGAGGCTGATTGGATACTATTACATATAATAAAAATACACATTAGTTATATAATAAATAGAGTAAAATACAAAAACCTAAGCTAACAAATACCTCCCTTAAACTTTTGAGAAACTCAACAAAAACCTCCCTTCTATCATTGTCCTAGACGGAAAACATTAGTTATATGTTTGGCATTGATACTGCAGTTGTAGCACCCCTTTTTCAGAAAATGGTGCTGCTGATGTGTGGCTTGGAGCACCACGGTGTATTTTTTTTTTTTTGTTTGGAATCATTGCTGTTAGGCAGGACGTTTTTTGGAGCAACAACAATTTTTTCTGTTTGGTACCAATGCTCCAGGAAACATTTTCTACACTTCTACCCATTATCCACTGCCACATCACTGCCCTGTTGGCAGTAATGAGCTGTAGTTTCAGGAAATGCCAAATTTGGCGTTGCTCCAAGCCGTGCCTTCCCGATTTCCAAAGCATGGCTTGGGGCACTGTTTTCTATAGAAAAATGGTTCCAAACAGATAATTGTTTCCTGGAGCATCGTTTTTTCCTACATAGCGCTGATGTGGCAACGTTTTCTGGAGCAACAGCAATGGTTCTGAACAGACGCTAGATTGATGCACCAGTTTTTTCCAAATATCCATTCTACCCTTTTATAAATTATTTTACATACAATTACTGAAATAATCCCATTTTAACTCAACAAAAAAAAACATATTTCAGTAATTTTGTATGTAAAATTACTGAAACGATCGTTAAAAGAGGTTTTTGTTGATCATATTTCAGTAATTTTATATGTAAAGCCATCAATTCTATCAAAAAAATGGATAAGAGATTATTTAAATCCAACAAAAAATAAGGGTCCGTTTAGTTCGTAATTGAAATTGGAATCAGAATCGAAATCCTCCAGAATTGGAACCGGAATGGTCCATTCCCATAATCTATTTGGTTCAGATAGGAATTAGAATAGAAATTAAAATCATCAGAAATGGGATTTCATTCCCAAAGGAGGGGCAGGGAATGACCATTCCCTCAAATGAAGGAATGCCATTCCAACAGGAATGGAATGAGATTCTGATTCCGCCCAACCAAACAATTGGAATCGGAATAGTCCATTCCAATTCCGATTCCAAACCCTTATTCATGCAAACCAAACGGACCCTAAAATCATATTCAGATTAAATCACATCATGATCCAATACATTTGCACCCCTACTATTAGCCCTCACCAATCATCACACTCCCTACAATGGATGAAAAACTTGCCATGACAAGGCTATATAGGATGGATAAGTGGTGTGGGGCTACAAAAGGTATGTGTCTCATCATTTAGGTATTGTTGGATTCCCACACCTTCAAGCGTAGAGGTGTAAATCGAGCTGTGTCGCCCGCGGCTTGGCACAGCTCGACACGACGGTCTATGGGCCATGTCAGGCCCTGAATGACCATGTGAGCCATGTTGGGCATGGGATTTTAGGTCCACGGGCCAGCACGACATGGCACGGCCTAGCCCGTAGCCCGGTCTAGCATGGCCCATATATTATATATATATTTATATTATTATATATATATTATATAATAATATATAGTATATATTAATAAAATAAATATATTTTTTAATTTTATTATACTAATTTATTTAATTATTGCATATATAAGCAATTTTATACACAAAATTCATATAAAATTAAAATTTTAAGTTTTTTTTTTGTTATTTTTTTTAAATAAATAGCTTTGGCCCGACTCGCCCCGTGGCCCAGCATGGGCCCACATAGGCCCAAGCCATGGGCCACATTGGGCCGACCCCCAAAATTTTCATCGGGGAGGGTGGCACGGCCCGTGATGGCCCGCGGGCCGCCCAGGGCCAGGCCGTGCCGGCCCGACACGGCCCACTTGACACCTCTATCGAGCATGGTAGTAGGCCAGTACTATCTCTCTTTTTACAAGCTCGAAGGTGCATTCCAGTTGGTGACCCGACCCAGCAATGCATCCCCTTACTTTCAAATATCACCCACTCGCCGTGGTATTGTATTCAGAGAAGCCCATTCATTCATCTTATTCTCTTTATTCCAATGTTTTAAAAACCGATCCAGAGGCCGAATTGTTTTTTGCCTCTGGGTCGCTGGTCACCGATTCAATCGGCTGAGTTAAACGGTTCAGACTATACCACATATTACATTTATTAAGTATATATATTAGCAATAAATAATGTATAAATACGTTTTAGATATGTTATATGTATTATTTTATAATTTAGTTTTTAATTTTTTATTTATAAAAAATATTAAAAATTGTAATTTGAGGTCAAACAAGGGTTTTTTTTTTCTGTGAAAATAACATGGGACACCTTGGAGTGCAAAGTTATGACCTCCAAAAGTTTGCATGTATTGATCGTTCAACCCACAACTCAATCATCGGGTCGAACAGGTCAATGGTCAAACAAGTTTGGGTCGAATGATTCTTGACAAAGTCAATCATTTTAACAATCCGACGAGTTTTAATTGAACCCAATCTAAAATGATGAGTGAATGATGATTCGAACGGTTCAATCGACCGGATCGACATTCTTTTTGCTCCCACAAGTTACTAGATAGTCTAAGATGGACATGACGATGAAGGTCGTCCGAGAGGAGTGGAGTAGTGGGACCCATTTTATAAATAAGAGATAACACTAAAAATTGACGAGCTTGCAGAAGCTGAACAACGGAGATAAGAGATGGAGACCCTTCTTTGTTTTTCTGGTATCAGGTACGGATTTAATATCCATTACAGTGGCAAGCTGCTGATCATGATCAGTAGGATATATCTTCGTTCTTTCTCTTGATCGATGCAGTTAGAAAAGTCATTTATTGCAAGCGACATAAAACTTCATTAATGGCTTCACAACTAGAATTCAACTACTTTTACAGAGGTTGCTAATCTCTCTCTCATCATATATATCAACGACGTGGTGGTGGTGCAGCTCTTGCTGTTTTCACGTGAACGGTGCATCCTGAAGAATTAATTGTACGTATATATATAGCGCAATAAATCAAGTAATTAATGGACATTCAACATTACAGACTAAACTCCATTGGAGGGTGCAAGAAGGAATAGCTCCTGCCGGTTTACTATCTTCTTCAGAGCCCCAATCATGGTATCGAGTGATCCCTTATTAGCTACTTCACTTCGATGTGGATGGGACTCGGAATCATCAACTTGTTTTGGTGAGATTTGAGGAGCAAACATTACCTGCGATCAGGTAATAGGTAATGTTTTCTCGGATTTTAAATGTCAACCGCTAAACCAACTACTCCCACTCCCCTCATTTATTATGGTTTGGGCAAGGTTTTTAAAATCGAACCGGATAATGAACCGGTCACGGTCAGGCTCATGGATTGAATGGTCCGATTGTTCGAATCGAACACATGACTCGTTTTAATAAAAAATTAAAAAATAATAAAAAATGATTAAAATTGTTGAATGGTTTGAATACCTGGGTCAGCAGTTTGCTAATCAAATCAATGGTTTTTGGCAAAATAACGATTCTAGGGTA